TGGAGTTGACTGGAGATGGTATGAGCAACTAATTCCGTCCTCTTCCAGCATTGCTGGCTTTCAATCCTAGGTCTGACTCTTTCCCATTGCATGCTATTGCATCCTACATTTTGGGTACCCTTTAATAATAATAATAATAATAATAATAATAATTTATTATTTGTACCCTGCCCATCTGGCTGGGTTTCCCCAGCTACTCTGGGCAGCTTCCAACAAAGACCAAAAATACACTAAATGTCACACATTAAAAACTTCCCTGAACAGGGCTGCCTTCAGATGTCTTCTGAATGTTAGGTAGTAGTTTATCTCTTTGACGTCTGATAGGAGGGGTTCCACAGGGCGGGTGCCACTAATAATAATAATGATAATAATAAAAATAATAATTTATTATTTATACCCCGCCCATCTGGCTGGGTTTCCCCAGCCACTCTGGGCAGCTTCCAACAAAACAATAAAATACAATAACCTATTAAACATTAAATCTTCCCTAAACAGGGCTGCCTTTAGATGTCTTCTAAAAGCTTGGTAGTTATTTTTCTCTTTGACATCTGGTGGGAGGGCGTTCCACAGGGCGGGTGCCACTACCAAGAAGGCCCTCTGCCTGGTTCCCTGTAGCTTTGCTTCTCGCATTGAGGGAACTGCCAGAAGGCCCTTGGCGCTGGACCTCAGCGTCCGGCAAGAATGTTGGGAGTGGACATGCTCTTTCAGTGCATGCTTTTATGCACAGTGCTCAATGCATCCACCTATAAAATGTTCATTTTGCATGCAACCTCTGTGCACACCACAAAGCAGTTTGATACCACTTTAAACAGCCACGGATACCCACCCCCCAAAAAATAATAATTCTGGGAACTGTGGTTTGTTAAACGTGCTGATAGTTGTTAGGAGACCCCATTTCCTTTCACAGAGTTATAGTTCCCAGAGTTCCCTATGAAGAGGGATTGATGGTTGAGCCACTCTGGGAATTGTAGCAAATCCCACCCTCCAGCAACACACACATAGACATACATCCGAAGAAGTATCTGAAGAAGTGTGCATGCACACGAAAGCTCATACCAATAACAAACTTAGTTGGTCTCTAAGGTGCTACTGGGACACGGGTGGTGCTGTGGGTTAAACCACAGAGCCTAGGACTTGCCGATCGAAAAGGTCGGCGGTTCGAATTCCCGTGACAGGGTGAGCTCCTGTTGCTCGGTCCCTGCTCCTGCCAACCTAGCAGTTCGAAAGCACATCAAAGTGCAAGAGGATAAATAGGTACCGCTCCGGCGGGAAGGTAAATGGCATTTCCGTGCACTGCTCTGGTTCGCCAGAAGCGGCTTAGTCATGCTGGCCACAAGACCCGGAAGCTGTACGCCAGCTCCCTTGGCCAATAAAGCGAGATGAGCACCGCAACCCCAGAGTCGTCTGCGACTGGACCTAATGGACAGGGGTCCCTTTACCTTTTAAGGAGCTACTGGAAGGAATTATTTTATTTTATATCGACTACAGCAGACCAACACGGCTACCTACCTGTAACATATACACCCAGACTGGAGATTTGCAGACCCACCAAACCTCTGAACCTTTGAAGGAGAAGGTGCTGGGCAGATATTTAAAAGGGAAGCGGGTCTCTGTTGCTGGTAAACAATTATTCCCCCCCCCCCCGGCTACTACCAGTTTTACTTGTCCACATCCACTACATTGTGCTACTGGAATATCGCTTTATAAAGAATGTCAAGCAAAGTGCCTGTTTTTCGGGTTTGATTCCACGGTGACATCCAAAAACTAAACTTGTGGTGGCTGTCATGGCAACAGTGTCATAATACTTGCTATTAATATTACACACTGAGAGCATGTTTTGAGGCTTGCCAATTATGTCTATATCTATATATCTGATGCTTTCACACACACCCCATCATTGCGTTTGAGCTACAATATGCCTAAATATTTTTGAGGGGAAATGTTATGGAGAAAATGCAATGGGCCTTCCCCCCTCACTCTACAAAATTTTCACGGCGGTATTTCTCATGACCTATTTGATGCATATCACTGGTTTTCCAGATAATGGATGTGTGAGTTTCTGCATGTCTTGCTGCACTCTTCATCTCTGGTCATATCCCCATGTTTATCGCGCAGTGGTTTCAATGTGTCTTCTGGAGAGTAACAAGTCTGAAATGCTATTAGTGTAAGCCAGGGGCTGAGAGCGCAGTATGTTCCCAACCAGGGTCTTCTATGGCAGCTGGAAAAGGGTCTAACCAAATGTCTCCATCCACTGCTGTTTTCATTGACTCACCCTCTTCTATATATGGTCCCTTTAAGCACACCTACATTTCATTGGATGCCAGGATTGGACTCCTCATACTTGGGTTCCAGCATGGATCTGGGCCTGAACTTAAAGGCACAGTTATGTAGCTAACATAATGCATGGTTGGGCAGCATGGAGGGGTTAATCTGGTTGTTGTTCTTGTTATTTATTAAATTTGTATACAGTGGTACCTCGGTTTACGAGCTTAATCCGTTTGGAAGTCCGTTCTTAAACCGAAACCGTTCTTAAACTGAGGCGCACTTTCCCTAATGAGGCCTACCACCGCCGGTGCCCTTCCACCGTTCCGATTCCGTTCTTAGACCGAGGTAAAGTTCTCAAACCGGGACACTATTTCCGGTTTTGCGGAGTTCATAAACCAAATCGTTCTTAAACCGGACTGTCCTTAAACCGAGGTACCAATGTACTGCCCTATATCCACAGGTCCCACGCTGGTTGTCAACATAAAATCACAACATTAAAACACAAAATTCATAATAAACACAAGAACAACCCAATATCACACACACACAAACACACATTTTATAAGGGCCTTGGAAGTCTATCAGGTAGCAGCTTGTGGTCAGCACCTTGGAGAGTTCCCATCACTTGTAGGAATTGCTCCATCACCTGTTGAAGCCCACTGAGCAGTTTTAAAGTTGAAGCACTTGTAGGAATTGCTCCATCACCTGTTGAAGCCCACTGAGCAGTTTTAAAGTTGAAGCACTTGTAGGAATTGCTCCATCACCTGTTGAAGCCCACTGAGCAGATAGGCGGGGTATAAATAATAATAATAATAATAATAATAATAATAATAATAATAATAATAATAATTACCACTTTAAAAATATGGGGTCTTGGCTTTGAGGATGGTTGTTTGAAAGACTTGGACAGTTCCATTACAGGCCCATTACACAAATTTGCATACAATCTGCATGCAATTACTCTGAGCTACACAATGGACCTCATACATGGTATGCGTGGATTGAGACCTCTGAAAATTAACATAGTGAGTGACTGACCTCTAAGCAAAGGGAATCAATGTTTTTTTGTTTAGAAGGAAATGGATAGGTGATCTAAGGATCAATGCAAAAGGATTTCCCCCACCCTGGGCTACCACTGTTAACACCAGCACTGGACAGATGACTGCCTAATTTTTCAGGACGTACCCTCGGTTTTCTCCCTTTGTTATTGGACTTTGGGCAGGGAATAAAAGTTCTCTAAGGCAAACCCCACCATAGCTGCATCTGCAGAACCTCCTATGCCACAGAAACACACTTTCAAGTTGACAGAGAACTGGTCTGTACAAATAGGAAATGTCATGTCAATTTCTAAGGCAATATGATTGCCTGATCAGTGTTGTTTTAGTTCAGTGTGTGTGTGTGTGTGTGTGTGTGTGTGTGTGTTTAAACATTCTGAAAAGGTTGCTCTTTTCAACTGTCTGGCATTCTAATTTAGCTTTAGTTCTAAAAGTCAAACTGATACCTTCTTAACCTGTGCATAATTGGTATTAAGAGCTAAGAATACTTTCTGTTGGCCTCTTTCTTTTGCACCTCTTCCATCCTCACTAACGTTAGCTGCTGATTGTTAATGATAATGGTTGGAGAAGAAAGAGCCTGCTTTTCAACTCTGATTTGGAAGAACTTGCAGTGAGCAAAACATTAATTCCGTGTATAATTAAGCAAACTTGTGACCTGAGTGGCTCTCCTGCTATACTGAGAGCTGTGCCAGATGTAGCAATCAGTGCTGTGGGTTTTCTGGGTTTATTTCCTGGAGGTTTTCTCCATGCATATTGGGGTCGTTTGCATTGTAAACTTCTGTGTTTGCATCAGGAAATTTTCTGTTGCCCTAGAAAAGAGTGGTCTCATTTAGCATGTTCTCTTCCCTTGTGTTTAGTATGCAAAGCTAAAACCTTTGAAACTCACAAGCTGTATTTGCAGTTGGCATCTATTCTTTGCTACTAATGGACTTATAAAAATGGGGGAGGGGGAAATCCATGGAAAAATAAAGCACTGGAAATTTTATCATGGGGAATTTTCTGCCCCACATATCTGGTGACAATAAGAGGGGAAGGGTAGACAAGGAGTTGAAATGACCTGTGCTTCCATATCATGCCTAAATGCAAACTTTTGCACCTCTACTGGGGAGATGTGTGCATGATTTGAGGAGCAAGAGTGCTATTGTTTCCCTATGACATCTGGCTGGGACCAAAAGATACTGCTATCTATATACAGTGTGAAATTGGTGATCAATTCAAATTGATCCACATGACGAAGCATGTTGATCTTTCATTGTGGCATTCCGGCTCATAATATTAAGTTCTTGAGATGGCAAAAGGAACTACGAATGCTGTCTCTAGTATATATACTGTGGTGAGGCAGAGGTGTGCTTTTCACTGCTAGCACTAGTGTTATGGAATATACTCCCTCCTGAAATAAGAGCGGCCCCATCAGCATTGGCATCTCGACGGCTTTTGAAAATTCGCTTGTTTATATGAGGGATCTCTTGACTTGAGCCTCCTGTTTTAATAACTGTGCTGTTTTAATGGGATTGCTTTATTGCATATTTTGGTTTCTGGATGTTTACATTTTGATGCTTGTGACACTTCCAGTTATGGAAAACAAATGCTGTAGTTGTGGATTCCAGGGTACAAAATAGACTTTCTTAAACTATCTTTCTCTTGAAACCCTTCTCCTTTCTTTTATTCATTTTTCCCCAGATAAGGCTTTCCATCCAGGTTTCACGCTGGTTTTCAATTAAGCTTCATGTGTAGCAATTGCAGCTGGTCTACACATCATGGTTCGGAAAGGTGAGTGCATTGGGCAATTTATGCAGCGCACGTCTGGCTTATAGAACTGATATAGATAAGCTTGATGCATATGAATATTTGCATTTTGTCAGGTTGTCAGTGTATGAAAGGCTTTTTAGTTGAGTAAGCACCAGCTTCTTACCAATTAACTGATTATTTGACTGCCTGTGAATAATTTTGCATATTATCTTAATCTCAGTACAGGCACCAGTTTTTAGGCCTTTGAAGGAAGCAAAAATGTAACATGGAACCAAGAAAAGCTATGTTGTCTCCTTTTCCTTTTTCATACTGGGAAAGGCCATCATTATTTCCTGTTACACTTTTCCAGTGCATTGGAATACCCTCAAGTTTATAAATGTGCTGTTTATTTGCAGCCCAGACAATGAAAACTCAAGCTTGATTAAATCGCTTAAATCAGGGGTAGTCAACACGGTGCCCTCCAGATGTTTTTTTGGAGTCCAACTTCCATGATCTCAGAACACAGGCTATACAAGCTGAGGGTGAACCAGAATTGTAGCCCAACAGCAACATTTGAAGGTCACTACATGGGCAAGCCCTGAACCGAAACACACAAGCCTGCCATTTTGTATATGCATTCTGCTGTGCAGAGGTGCCTATGTGGAGTTCAAGGGTTACACTGTTCATTACAGCATAATAAACAGTTAACAGCACAATCCTATGCAAGATCCCATTTTGTACAATAGGAAATATTCCCAGATGAGGGCATGCAGTCTTCAAATGTTTATTAACTAAGCCTTTTGACTTGAAAGAAGGGGGGAAAGCACCTCACACAACAGCAAGCAGGGTCAGAAGGTATCCTGTAAAGATGTAAATGTTCTTTGGGGACCATGATAATCATTATTCAGTATACAAGGTAGCCATAGACAGCCATGTAGAAGAAGTCTATCAATAGTCATGATGGCTGTTAAGTCTAACAACATTGCATAGGATGGGGACCTTGTGGCTCTCCAAATGTTGCTGGATGCTGACTCGAATCAGCCTGAGCCAATGTGACCAGTGGCCAGGGATGATTCCTGCATTTCAGGGGGTTGGACTAGATGACCCTCGGTGTCTCTTCCAACTCTATGATTCTGTGATGGCTCTTGTTGTTCAGCAGCATCTGGAGGGCCACACGGGGTCCTTATCCCTAGTGTAGGGTTAGGTGTGATGGCAGGTGTTCAAACCTTTTAAGCAAGGGATTCACTGGCAATTATTCAGGATCAGCAGCACTGTGTTTACCTGAGGGACAAAGAAAACCAATTCAGAATAAACTGAAGTCTGAGGTGAAATAACCATGATGATAATGATGATGATGATGATAATTTATTATTTATACCCTGACCATCCAGCTGGGTTTCCCCAGCCACTCTGGGCAGCTTCCAACAAAATATTAAAATACAGTAATGCATCAAACATTAAAAGCTTCCCTAAACAGGGCTGCCTTCAGATGTCTTCTAAAAGTCTGGTAGTTGTTGTTCTCTTTGACATCTGGTGGGAGGATGTTCAACAGGGTGGGCGCCACCACCGAGAAGGCCCTCTGCCTGGTTCCCTGTAACTTGGCTTCTCACAGTGAGGGAACCGCCAGAAGGCCCTCAGCGCTGGACCTCAGTGTCCGGGCAGAACGATGGAAGTGGAGAAGTTCATTCAGGTATCCTGGGCCGAGGCTGTTTAGGGCGTTAAAGGTCAGCACCAACACTTTGAATTGTGCTTGGAAACATACTGGGAGCCAATGTAGGTCTTTCAGGACTGGTGTTATGTGGTCCCGGCGGCCACTCCCAGTCACTAGTCTAACTGCTGCATTCTGGATTAGTTGTAGTTTCCGGGTCACCTTCAAAGGTAGGCCCACATAGAGCGCATTGCAGTAGTCCATCTCATTCCTTCTGCCCTCGTGCCTCAATGTCTTCCAGATATCAACCAGAAGTAGTTCACTAGGTGGAGCAGAGGCATGTTCCCTGGAGGGGGGGGTCATTGTCGCATACCAGGAGGGAGAGGGGCAATGCAGCGGGGCAGTCAGCTCAGTGCAAGCGCTTCTATCAAAGTCTTCTTCTACAGTGGTAAAGGACGCAGGTGGCACTGTGTGTTAAACCACAGAGCCTAGGGCTTGCCAATCAGAAGGTCGGTGGTTCGAATCCCGGTGACAGGGTGAGCTCCCGTTGCTCGGTCCCTGCTCCTGCCAACCTAGCAGTTCGAAAGCACGAAGTGCAAATAAAAAAAATAGGTACCACTCCAGTGGGAAGGTAAACGGCGTTTCCATGCGCTGCTCTGGTCCACCAGAAGCAGCTTAGTCATGCTGGCCACATGACCCGGAAGCTGTACGCTGGCTCCCTCGGCCAATAAAGCGAGATGAGCGCCGCAACCCCAGAGTCGTCTGCGACTGGACCTAATGATCAGGGGTCCCTTTACCTTTACAGTGGTAAATCAAAGTGTTTCTTGCTTTCTCCCCTTTTGGTGGCATGTTCCACTGGCGGTTTATTAGGTTTATGGAATACTGTTCAAAGCTGTGAGACAGATAGAAGTGGGTGTAAACATGGGCCTTTTGGAGCATTCTTCCTTTAGCCCCTGGCAAAGTTCAGCACAGAGTTGCACAGCTTGCTTCTGTGGATGTTGCCTCCGTTTGTACAAGTGAGAGAGAGCATTTAAAGAAAAGGGAATCAGAATGACTAGAGAGATAATGGATGTATTACACCAAACTTGACATTTGTAGATGTGACCTGCACTCTCATTCCATTAACCTACAGAGGTGAGCTTGAAAGCCTGTTAAATACATCTTTCTTGAGCAGAGCTGCTGTTTGGTTGGGTACAAAGCCCAGCGATGTTTGACACGTTATAAGCAATGCCGCTGGAGTATAATTAATAATAATTATATAATGACTGAAATGCTAGACCTGTGTTCCTGTTGTGTCATCTCCTTTTTCTTTCAGGAGAACAGAATTGAAATGTCTGTCAAAATATTCTTAGTCAAAATTTCTTGCTTGCTTGAAGGCAGTAAGATGACAGAGATTTCATTTCAGTGTCCTTTATTTGACCCCGTTCCATGTGTGTGCTGTGACTTCGGAGGGGGGGGGGCAAGATACCGCTGCAGCACTCTTTAATTATTATTTAAGAAATACTGCTTGAAACCTCTCCTACACTGACCTGTGCCAACTATGGGTGAAAGGGTGAAATGCAACCTTTTTGCAAGTTAGGAAATTAGACTTCAGCCTCTCAGATCGCTAACTACGACCTCATTTAAAACTGTTTTCTTACCTTCCTTGCTTTAGATTTCTCTCTCTTTTTTTCTTTCAAAAAATAAACACACTCCAAAACAAGAGCTTGAATTTTCTTTCTAAATATACAAAACACTTCCAGTTCAGTGAGTCATTTGGTCATAGAGAAATGAGGTGCTAATTACCAAAACGATAAAAAGAGGTGATTTTTTTTTAAATAACGAAAACCAAAAACCACTACAGTAGTTAAGAAGAAAGCATTCCAATCTGCTAAATCTATGCATTTTTACAAGTTAATGAAGCAGAACGAGTTTTTGCATGGAAAGATTCAGACATATATGGTAGTGGTTGCTATGCTTCAGCTCTGGGGCATGACGAGATATTTCTAGCGGACGAACATTGCAACGGCCCTATAATATTCTACTGCTTGAGCCAGTAAACTTGATATAACCTTGCTCAGAGCTCTGACACTCTTTAATAGTTCCCTCGTGTATAGCTTATGAAATTTCGTTGTTTCATTAACTGCCAGAGATGATCATTTCGTCTCTTAGTGTGAATTCTTTTCATTATCGGCATAATCTAAGTCTGGCTTCTACTTTAAAATGAAAAGCACAGATTGCAGGTTGGGGGAGGAATCAGCCAGATGTCCTGGATCAGGTGCTCTTCAGACATGTCAGTGGGATGCTTATCAGTGATTGGGAGAGCATTTAAGTGATCCAATCATGTGAGTGGGTGGAGATAAGGAATAAGGATGTGGATGGTATATACTGAATTCAGTTTTCACTGAAAGACACACGTAACTAATCTGCATTTTCCGAAACAACACACCAGCTGAAGTGCAGCCGTTGTTCATAATATGCACTTCTCTGAATTTTTCAACACATTTCAAATAATTTGTACAAAAATTCATATGTTGCGGTAAAGTGGTGCATTAAAAATGCGCACATTAGTGAAAATGACATAGAAGACGCGCATTATGCTAGGGAAAATTGCTTTACAAAAGTGCGTGCAAACATGCATACATGTATAAATGCTACTGAATTTTCATGGCGGCTTCCTCTTAAAAGTAAATACATTGCAAACTGATGCGGTCATGGGAAGAATTGAACTTAATAATGGAAAAATGAGGAAAAAATGATAGTCATCCATTCCTCCTCAGGAGTAAAAGGTAAAGGAACCCCTGACTATTAGGTCCAGTCGCGGACAACTCTGGGGTTGCGGCGCTCATCTCGCTTTACTGGCCAAGGGAGCCGGCATATAGCTTCTGGGTCACGTGGCCAGCATGACTAAGCCGCTTCCGGTGAACCAGAGCAGCGCACGGAAACGCCATTTACCTTCCTGCTGGAGCGGTACCTATTTATCTACTTGCACTTTGACGTGCTTTTGAACTGCTAGGATCAGGAGTAGCACCAAGAAAAAAGCAGCCCTAGATAAATTTCATTTATTGTACCACTGAGCAATTTTTCAGATTATTATTTTGGAGGAGGCAGTATTTCATAACTGTTCAAAATCCTTATTGCTACATTCTGGTTCTTGCAACTGCCTTTCTCCTCATTACTCACCTGTCTGCTTGGGCCATGTTTTTCCAGGTGTTTGCTGCTGCTGTGCTGCTTTGCGCCCTCGCTACAAACGCCTGGTGGATAACATCTTCCCTGAAGACCCAAAAGTAAGTGAAGGAAACGTCAAGCCACGTGGCTCGATTTGTTCCTGTGCCCAGGACCTGCTTGTCGGTTTCCCACAAGTGTCTGGTTGGCTACCGTGAGAACAGGATGCTGGACTAGATGGGCCATTGGCCTGATCCAGCAAACCCTTCTTATGCTCTTGTGTGATCATGCCTTGCATGTGAAAGGTTCCAAGTTCAGTTCTGGGGAATTTCAGGCTGTTGGCATCCATCTGTCTCGAGAGACCATGGAGCGCACCTCTGGGGATGAAGTCAAACCACTGGAGAGTCACAGCGCCTGCTGTGGCAGCAGAAACCGGTAACTCATAACTACTGCCTCCCACATTATTTTTGCTGTGTTAGGAGTACCAAAGTGACTTCTCCAGGGCTGTATGGAGGTCTTGTGTTGATCAGATAACAAGACCCCTGTAGGAATAAAGTGGACGACAGGAGGAGAAGAAAAAGAAGAAGAATTTGGATTTGATATCCCGCTTTATCACTACCCGAAGGAGTCTCAAAGCGGCTAACATTCTCCTTTCCCTTCCTCCCCCACAACAAACACTCTGTGGGATGAGTGGGGCTGAGAGACTTCAGAGAAGTGTGACTGGCCCAAGGTCACCCAGCAGCTGCATGTGGAGGAGCGGAGACACCAACCCAGTTCCCCAGATTACGAATCTACCGCTCTTAACCACTACACCACACTGGCTGGATGCAAGTGAGCTGTGCAGGAGCAAGCTGGCAAGCAAGCTCCGAAACAAGCTGCTGACTAGCTCTGCAGAGGCTCTTTTTATTAGCAGAAGCCAGCAATTGGAAACAGTAGTGAAACCACTCTGCACATGACGTATTTCCATCTAAGCACATTTCCAGCATTAGCAGATACACGTGTTAGGAGGTGTTTCCCTAAAATGTTCCCCGATACTTGATTACATCTGCATTCCTGGTCATGCTCCAGCCAAGCGTTGTGTCTAATAACCAAATCTGTGAGAGGACAAACGGTCAGGGGGAAAACCCTGTCTTCTAGCCAAGAAGGCAAAAGGTCAGGGAGCGTGGGCGCAATGCTCCTTGGCACACCGTTGCATGCCTGGTGAGAGGTTTGCCTCAGCACAAGTGGAGCGTCACCTCCACAACCCCCCCCCCCTCGGCCTTGTTGACGTGGTGCAAAGGAAAGCAGAGCAATACCTTTGGCACCAGCTTGGCTGCAGGAGTTACCAGAAGGAGGCATACCAGACTCCATCCAACCCTCTCAGGGACTCCACACCAGATCTGTGTAGTGTTTGCTCCTTAGTCTTTTCTTCTCCCAAAGATGCCCCACCAAACAGCAGAGGACCAGAGTTTTCCTTCTCCTAGATGGGCCACCTTCCCAGGTTGACCAGCCCCATCTGCCCTTCACTTCCCTCTACAGAACATGTAGAAACCACCTCCTTGACCATATGAGCCACCTTTGGTCTTCTCAGTCCACTGGAGCCTGTGTTCGCATGCAGGGGAAATCCCTAACTTGCTGATTGTTTGAAACCCATCGGCTACCCTCACCAGGGCACCCTCCAGGATTTTAAACATGTCGCCTCTCCCAGTCCTACCTGGAGATATCAGGGAGTGAACCAGGGACCTTCTGCATCCAAAAGGCAGATGCTGTACCACTGAGCTGTGGGAACCAGTTCCAAATAAGATGCAGCCATTCAAGTGTCCAACGCTTCAAGCTATTATCCTTCTGAATTTAAATATTGCCTCCAGCTAATGGATCAGCAACATTCCAGTACATTTAGGTTTAGTCCCGTGGGATGTTGTAATTCTAATTATTTTTTCCTTGTCTTCCTAATAACTCATTCATTTTTTAAAATCAAGTGAAGTGTGCTGATAATTTGCATACCTTGCCTTTCCACAATTTAATTTTGCCCTGTGGGAATAATTTCAAGATTATTGTTGTTATTTTTTTAAATAAGTACTTCGACTTGAATTCTTAATTCTCTGTGAAAGAATTTGAAATGCTCTGCCAAACATAATTTGCAAAAAGAAAAGAAGCACTATCCTTTTTGAAGTATTTATTTATATCCCAGTAGCTCAAGATGGTGCTCTCTTGTCCTTCCCATCCCCAGCTTCTCCTCACAACAACCCTGTGAGGTAGCATAAGTGGAAAGGTGGTAACTGGTCCAAGATCAGCTGGTGGGGTTGAGATGTGCAATCTGAAACTGGCTCTACTCAGTCCTGACACTCTGGCAATGTTGCCACTACTGGTCCTCTAGTAGATGTTTGGTGGAGGGGTGAGAGCCAGAATTTAGCAGTCTACAATCCTGCTTCTCTCCCCTTCCTATAATGTTCTAGAAAACAGGCATTCAGTGGCCAGTGTCTACACCAGTGCTTCCCAAACTTGAGTCTCCACCATTTTTTTGGACTACAACTCCCATCATCCCTAGCTAGCAGAACCAGTGGTCATGGATGATGGGAACTGTAGTCTAAAAACAGCCAGGGACCCAAGTTTAGGAAACACTGGTCTACATTATTTATTTACTCATTTATTTTATGATATTCATATCCTTCCTTTCTTCCATCGTGCAACCTAAGATGGCATGTACAGTCATGCCCTGGATTCCAAATGCCTTGTGAGTTGAACATTTTGGTTCCCGAAAGCCATAAACCCGGAACTGAGTGTTCCTGTATGCAAACGTTCTTTGGAACCCGAATGTCCTGCAGCCAATCGGAAGCCGCGCCTTGGTTTCCGAATGTTTTGGAAGTCGAAAGGACTTCCAGAACGGATCCTGTTCGACTTCCGAGCTACCACTGTACATAGTTCTCAGATGGTCACCCATCCAAACACTCACCAGACCTGGACCTGCTTAGCTTCAACAAGGAGGTGGCCTTGTATGCCTTTGGTCTATTCCTCAGGACGCTATCTTCACCATGTCAATATCTGGCCATAGTATCCAAAGTGCGAATCATAAGTGATTTCTGTTACCAAGGAAAAAAGAAAAACATTGACTGGTGATTCTTCTTATGATTAGGATGGGCTTGTCAAAGCTGATATGGAGAAGCTGACTTTCTACGCCGTTTCTGCACCTGAGAAGCTCGATCGAATTGGTGCTTACTTAGCAGAGCGACTGAGCCGGGATGTTGTCAGACACCGTTACGGGTAAGCTTCTTACTCATTAATGCTGATGTTATCTTCCCACCAGTGATTCTTTCAATTTCCCCCCATAATCTGGGCTAGAACCACCGATGTTAGATGGTGGAGAGGGTGTCTGTGACTCAGGCTGAGCAGCAGTTAAAACCAGTGGGAACTTTTGCAGGAACTAACCTGATATCAAGGGACACGGGTGGCGCTGTGGGTTAAACCACAGAGCCTAGGACTTGCCGATCAGAAGGTCGGTGGTTCGAATCACCGCGACAGGGTGGGCGCCTGTTGCTCAGTCCCTGCTCCTGCCAACCTAGCAGTTCGAAAGCACGTCAAAGTGCAAGAAGATAAATAGGTACCACTCTGGTGGGAAGGTAAATGGCGTTTCCGTGCACTGCTCTGGTTCGCCAGAAGCGGCTTAGTCATGCTGGCCACATGACCCGGAAGCTGTACGCCGGCTCCCTCGGCCAATAAAGCGAGATGAGCGCCGCAACCCCAGAGTCAGTCACGACTGGACCTAATAGTCAGGGGCCCCTTTACCTTTACCTTTAACCTGATATCAGAAGCCTGTCCTCGGAGGAACAGAAGCTTTGCAGGGCTAGAAGTTTTCATTTTCCTTTGTCTTAGGCCAAACTTCCACATTGGGTGTCCTGCTGTCGTTTCAGCATGGCAAAACTCACTACGATCCACTTGGCACAGCAGTCACGCATTTAAGAATCTGAACTGGGCAGCGTTCAAAGCGTGGATGCGGTCAGGGAGAAAATGAGATGGTTTCATTTCACATTAGGCCAGGCTTGAAATTAGCCTGTGGTCCATTCACCATCTTTATAACTGTTCAGCAATGTGCTCCCGAGCTTGAATGATTGCATTCACACTTAGATGTAATTGCGAGCCATTATCAGTTGTTGCTGTGAAAAGGACTGTGTTTTCTGTAAGTGACCTCAAGAACATATTACTCCTGAAGTGAGGTGAAGTTGAGTTAGGTGACATCCCACCTCTTTTGTGATAGGTCTGATAGGTCTGGACCCATCCTGCTTCTTATGGGCCTGATTCCGTCTTCTAGCCTTGCCCAGGATAAAGCTATTTGTGGAGCTGGGAGTGGCAGGGGGTTCCTCTTTCTTTGCCAGCCTCTCCTTGCTCCACAAACAGCTCTGGTTCACGTCAAAGGATTTTTCAAAATGTGAGTGCAACCCTACACAGCGTAGTATCCTGCGTACATCCATTGAAAAGAATTGAGGTGGTTTTAAGTCCACCTAAAAAGAAGGCTGGCGCTGTGGGTTAAACCACAGAGCCTAGGACTTGCCAATCAGAAGGTTGGTGGTTCGAATCCCGGCGACGGGGTGAGCTCCCGTTGCTCGGTCCCTGCTCCTGCCAACCTAGCAGTTCAAAAGCACATCAAAGTGCAAGTAGATAAATAGGTACCGCTCTGGCGGGAAGGTAAACGGTGTTTCCGTGCACTGCTCTGGTTCACCAGAAGCGGCTTAGTCATGCTGGCCACGTGACTCGGAAGCTGTACACCAGCTCCCTCGGCCAATAAAGCGAGATGAGCGCCGTAACCCCAGAGTCGGTCACGACTGGACCTAATGATCAGTGGTTCCGAATTTTCCCTGTTAGTTTCGCCAACTCGGCATAGTCCATTAAATTCATCTTCCACTCTTCTTGGTGTCTCTTGTTGCCTCCATCTTTGGGCTAATAATATTCTTGCTGCAGTTGTTGCATATAAGAACAGTCTTTTATCTTGCTTATGTATTTCATTACCTACAATGCCTAGTAAGAAGGCTTCTGGGTTTTTTTTTAAACAAATGTATATTTCAACATTTTTTAAACTTCATTATAAATCATTTCCCAGAAAGCCATCACCTCCTTACAGACCCACCACATATGGTAAAAAGTACCTTCCTTTTCTTTACATTTCCAACAATGATTACTTGTTTTATACATTTTAGCTAATTTCACTGGTGTTATATACCTTAAAGTTACAAAGTTATTCCGATGAACAGGGCTGCCCTTGAGACTGACCCAGAAACTCCAGCGGGTGCAGAATGCCACGGCAAGACTCCTTACTGGGTACTCACCATGGGGTCACATTCACCTGGTGCTATACCAGCTGCACTGGCTCCCAGTTCAGTACAGGATCAGCTTTAAGGTGCTGGTTTTAACCTTTAAAGCCCTATACGGTCTAGGACCCTCGTACCTATGGGACCACCTCTCCTGGTATGTCCCACGGAGGACCTTACGGTCTTCAAACAAAAACATCTTGGAGGTCCTGGGCCACAGGAAGGTTAGGCTGGCCTCAACCAGAGCCAGGGCTTTTTCAGCCGTGGCCCCGATCTGGTGGAACGCTCTGTCACAAGAAACTAGGGCCCTGCGGGACTTGACATCTTTCCCCAAGGCCTGCAAGACAGAGCTGTTCCACCAGGCCTTTGGCCAAGGCACAGTCTGACCCCCTCCTTCTGTAATCCTCATAGAATGCTAGCCCAATGGTTGCCATTAATTTGATTCTGAATTGATTTTAGAATGAACTGATTTTAGAATGTATTTCAATTAATTGTTTGTGATTTTATGTAGACTGTGTTACTTTTACTGTTGTTAGCTGCTCTCAGCTCAGCTTCGGCTGGGGAGGGCGGGATATAAATAAATTATTATTATTATTATTTTATTATTAAATAGAAACTGTTGGAGGAGTGTAAGAGCCAAAGGCAGCATGGCTCCCAGCAGAGCCAACAGATTGGGCCTGGTGGATTGGGCATACGATTGGACTGGAAGGCTGGCTTTGTTGAAAGACCCAGCCTCTCTTAGGAGGGGGGCAAAAGGTTTGAAATACTGCTTATTCCAAACCGGGTTGCCTCCTCCCTCCTCCCCTGGAGCTTAAAACAGAGATACAGCAGCGCATCTAGAATGAGGGTGCTAGGAATGTAACTAAGCCTAGCGTGAAAGGAGGCCCCATGGAACGCAGCGGGGTTTCCTTTCAGATAAATATGCATAGGAACAGACAAATATAGCTTATTTGTTTTCCTGAGTGCATGCGCTGCCTGACACCTGTGGATCTGTGCTTGCCTGTTCTCTCAGATACGTTTTAATCGCCATGGAAGCCCTGGACCAGCTTCTGATGGCCTGCCGCTCGCAGAGCATCAAACCGTTTGTCGAGAGCTTCCTTCATATGGTAGCTAAGCTGCTGGAGTCTGGAGAGCCAAAGCTGCAAGTTCTGGGGACCAATTCAGTGAGTAAACCAAAGTTCAGCTGAGCAGGGACCGCGGGAGCAGCGTAAACACTTTCAGTTCCTCTTCTGATGGCTGTAACGAAAGGGGGAAGCATCCTTACAGTTTTGATATCGCCTAGCAGGCAGGCAGAAATGACTAAGGAGAACCCCAATGGAGTTCACATTTAAAGGTGAACTTACCTAATTTCAAAACAGTACATGAACTGAAACCCAGCCCGCCTCTGAAATTTGCACTTCTCTGAATTTTGCAGCGCTTAAGTTATGTGTGCAAAAATACATATACATGGGTAAAGTACGTTTCCGAGCACAATTCAAAGTGTTGGTGCTTGCCTTTAAAGCCCTAAACAGCCTCGGCCGAGTATACCTGAAGGAGGTATTCTTCTGCCCAGACATTGAGGTCTTGCGCTGAGGGCCTTCTGGCAGTTCCCTCACTGCGAGAAGCAAAGCTACAGGGAACCAGGCAGAGGGCCTTCTCGGTGGTGGTGCCCGCCCTGTGGAACGTCCTCCCATCTATCTGAATTTTAGAAGACATCTGAAGGCAGCCCTGTTCAGGGAAGTTTTTAATGTGTGACATTTTGATGTATTTTTAATCTTTGTTGGAAGCTGCCCAGAGTGGCTAGGGAAACCCAGCCAGATGGGTGGGGTACAAATAATAAATTATTATTATATTATTATAAAGTGTGCATATAAATGAATATATTGCTGAAGATAACATACGTATTATATTAAGGGAAATTGCTTTGTATATCAGGCAAAATTTCACACAAATATGTGTACATTAGGAGAATATAAGACGAGCCAGTGGCCCATCTATTCCAGTATCCTGTTCTCACAGTGGCCACCCAGATCCCTGTGGGAAATCTACAGAAACAGAGCATAACCATCATAACTCCTGAATTTGCCTAATCATCTTTTAAAGCCATCCAAGTTGGTGGCTTTCCCTAGGTCTTGTGGGAGGGAGTTCCACAGTTTAACTGTGAACAAATAATTTCTTTTATCTGTCTTTAATCCTCCAACATTCAGCTTTATTGGATGACTGCAAGATCTAGTGTTTTGAGAGAGGGAGAAGAACTTTTCTCTCTGTAATTATGCCATACATAATTTTATACATCTCTGTCATGTCACCTCTTACTCTTGTTTTCTTTAAACTTTAAAAAGTCCTTAGTGCTGCAGCCTTATCTTACTGGGGAGTTGTTCTATCGCCTTAATAATTTTGGCTGTGTTTCCCCCCCCCCCGAGAAATTAGCACTGAAAGGCTGGTGAATTTCCATGAGAACTGAACTTAAGACTGAAAAAAACGAGTACCCGAGAGAAGCCAAATTTGCCCATCCCTATTTCAGGTGAACTTTTGTACAATGAACGATCAAGAGGGAAGAAATGTCTGTCCCTCAAATATGTTGGATATAATACGTGCATTAAACACATCGTAGTACCTCCCTAACTCTAGCAAATGTTGAAAATGGATGTATTTTGAGTTTCATTCTCCTCAGGTGATGTGATGCAGTTCTAAAATCTGTGCAAGCCTTTTCCATAGCAACACAAAAGATTCTGCAGTCATAAGGAGGAAAGAGCTATTCTGAGATATCATAAATTATTTTCAATTCCTAACTTTTCAGGTGAATCACGTTTCAAATTGGCCTCGTGCCTTGGCTACAGCAGAAGGTACATTCACTGGAAATAAAGTAAACTTGATATTTCTAAGAATGTGCGCAGAGATAATTTGCTCCCTGAAAGTAGAACCTTGCCTGGATATTTATGGAAAGGCTGAATTTAACGTGGTGACTTTCAAAGCGAAGTTTTCACATCTTAACTTCAAAATTTTAGGCGGCTGGTAAAGCAAAGTTCACACACATTTGGCTGTCTTGTGCCTGTAACAAAGTTAAGAAAAACAAGTTTGGTAGCCGCCTCTGATTAAGTGCACATCCAAGTTGATCTTGGTCTTTCAGTGTAACACCACAAGGGACGTACTCTTTAAGCCAGGAAAGTAGGCAATAGACTGTTATCTCTTTCAAGTATTACCTCTAACCATAAACCAATCTTGTATTCTCTTCCTTCTGATTTCCCTAGTTTGTTAAATTCGCAAACATTGAGGAAGATACTCCTTCATACCACAGGCGCTATGACTTCTTTGTTTCCCAGTTCAGTGCCATGTGTCATTCTTACCACGAGGATCCAGAAGTACAAAATGAGTAAGTAACCAGATACAGGGCTGGATTTAGGTTTCATGAGGCCCTAAGCTACTGAAGGTAATGGGGCCCTTTATATATCCAGCTGTCCTTTGTCAACAACAAATTGTCGCTGTTTTTGTGTGTGTGTGTTGAATATATGCTATATGGTAATTTATGGACCTAATAGGTATCTTTAGCCATTTGCAACCAGTCCATGCATAATGTAGGCACCCTATATATAGAAATGAGCAAACCAGTGATATTCTAGGGAGCAGGCTAGCAGGCGGGGCCCATTACTTACATCATAGGAACCTACACAACACAAAACACTGTTGCTGTATGTAACTTTTATTTTATTTGTTTTTTATCTTATATTTTGGAAATGTACATCCATGTTTTCTTCCCTTTACATTTTTTTGGGGGGGGGGCATGAGAGTGGGCCCCTAAGCTATAGCTTGTTTAGCTTATATGTAAATATGGCACTGTGTGCGTATTTGCTTCAAGTCCTCTTCCTTGGGCCAGTTCTGGCATCCTGGCTTGTTCACTTCTGCCCACTGACAGGGAGGTCTAAAATGAGCGTCTGTTTGCAGGATTGTAAACAGCTTTGCAGCCCAAAGCTAATAAAATGCTGTGCAATCAGATACAACAGATTACTGACTCGGTAAACTAAAAGCAATAAATTTGTTGCTGCGATGGTACAATTAATACTCCGTAAGATGATTGGGCTACATACCAGGAAAAAACCTTTTCAAAGAAGCTGCCTGAATATTAGGATGCTAAATTCCTGCCTAATTTCAGCTGGTAACTAATTCAAGAGGGCTGGAACTGCAACACAAAAAGGCCAATTTGCTGGTAATACTCAGCCGTCCTCTGGGATATGCGATGACTCTTGTCAATGCCCCATCTGAGGAGCAGAGTTTCTGGGCAGGGAATTTAAGGCGGTCCCTTAAATTCTCAGATATTTTTCATGGAAGCTCTAGACTTGCCAGGAGTATGTTTCTTAATTGAGATTGTATCCTTGTCAAAACAGCTGGCTGACTGTTGTACTCGCTTCTCCTTAGAGGAGAGGAGTCAGAAGCTAAATTGCCTTGAAAATTTCCGTGAACTGCTTTCATTTGAAGCCTCTACTCGAGATCAACTGAGGGCTTGTCAGAGGAGAAGTGGGGGGAGACCAGGTTTCTCTGCTCCTGCCCACAGGAAATGAGTCATCAGCCTGCCCCGCAATGTCCCTTGTTGTCAGTCTGATTCACATGACCTCAATTCATCCCTAAATGTTTTTCACGTTGCAGTCAAAGTTGGCATTGCCCTGACTGAACAGATGCTGTCCAAAATGGCCGCCTGATAGCCTGGTTCCCCCCACATTTGCCTCTCTAGCGCAATGTATGCCATGATTATTACTTTTTTGTGACACCAGAAAATATATATACTGTATTTTTTGCTCTATAAGACTCACTTTTCCCCTCCTAAAAAGTAAGGGGAAATTTGTATGAGTCTTATGGAGCGAATGCAGGCTGCGCAGCTATCCCAGAAGCCAGAACAGCAAGAGGGATTGCTGCTTTCACTGCGCAGCAATCCCTCTTGCTGTTCTGGCTTCTGAGATTCAGAATTATTATTTTTTGTTGTTTTCCTCCTCCAAAAACTAGGTGCGTCTTGTGGTCTGGTGCATCCTATAGAGCGAAAAATACAGTATATTGTGAAGTTGTTGCTGTCTGTCCCTGTTCAAAATGGTTGCCCCATACTATCCTCTCTTCCTTGGCCACCTCAGCATTCTCACCATTTAATTCTGCAGTGTGCATATTCCAGGCTGTCAATATTATATAGGAGGAGGGGGAACTCTCAAACCTTTATTTTGCTACCATTGCACCTGCCTTAAATGGGTCTTTATCACCAAGCCAAGAAACCTTTTTACAGACCCTCGCCAGTGTCCCTATTTTCCAGGGACAGTCCTGGATTTACAGAAGCTGTCCCATTTTCTGATTTGATCCCAGAATACCCCACTTTTCCTTGGGACGTCCCTGTTTTCATCGGAGAAATGTTGGAGGGTATAGAGTTATGCGACCCCAGAGCCAAGGAGATAATTAACTATACAACCTTTAGAAGACATGTGAAGGCAGCCCTGTATAGGGAAGCTTTTTAATCATGGGTAGGCAAACAAAGGCCTGGGGGCCGGATCCAGCCGAATCACCTTCTCAATCCAGCCTGCAGACAGTCCGGGAATCAGCGTGTTTTTACATGAGTAGAATGTGCCCTTTTATTTAAAATGCATCTCTGGGTTATTTGTGGGGCATAGGAATTCGTTCATTATTTTTTTCTTTCAAAATGTAGTCTGGCCCCCCACAAGGTCTGAGGGACAGTGGACCGGCCCCCTGCTGAAAAAGTTTGCTAGCCCCTGTTTTAAATGTTTATTGTTTTGTTATGTTTTTATATAATGGAGGTTGCCCAGAGTGGCTGGGGCAACCCAATCAGATGGGCAGGGTATTATTATTATTATTATTATTATTATTATTATTATTATGGAATAGGATATACCTATTTTCATTGGAGAAATGTTAGAGGATGTGTTTTTATCACAAATAGTTTGTTTCTTGAAGGAAGCAATCTATGTAAGCATATTGCATTCGCCTCAGTCCTGTTTCCGATCTCACGTTCGAGATGGCTGGAGCTGCAGCACAGATTATTCCAGAAAGTTCTGACAGATTTTCAGGTGCTCCCCACCCTCCTGTCAGCTGCAGGGGCCTAGCCGTCCTCACTCAATTCGTTTCTGATTCAAATTGTCTCCAGTGTCAGCCTTCCATCTAAAACACTGTTTCTATTCATAAACATTCATCTTATGGCAATCTCTTTTCCTAAAATAAACTGCTGTGGGTCATGTGTCGGCGTTTTTAATCTCCGGAGCTAGAATTCTGAATGCAGCTTTGGAAAGCAGACGTTGTTAAGGGTTCATGCAGTTATAAAACACCTCAAACAGCAGTGTACTGACTTACCGCTGAGGAAATTCACAAATGAATAAAGTAAGATGGATTATGTATGTTTCACCCTGCAGTTTGCTCACATCCTTCTAATGACTGGCACGCAAATGATTTTTGCATCTCGATTTTAAGATAATGTATCATGTGAAACCTCAAACAAAAAAAGAGTCTTATGGCACCTTTAGAGATCAAGGCTTGCAGCCAACTAAGTCCTACACAGAGTAGAACCATCAATATTAAAGGAATTCTTCCTGTTCACTAATTTTGGTCTATCTACCCTGAGGCTACGGTGTTAACAAATGAATGGGACTCTAGTCTTTAAAATGCCACAATACTCTTTGATGCTTTTGCTGCAGTGGGAAAGGAGCTCAGCTAGAAGGACTATTTTGGATTTATTTGAATGGATGATTTACCATCCTATTTATTTTATATCTTAAATGTATATCTGTGAAATGGATCTTGCAAAAAATTAAGGCAAAATTAAGTAGCTGTGCACAAATGTTAGAAGAGAAAACCGAAATATTGTTTGTGTGCCTGTACAATGAAGTTGTTACTCTGGTCTGTAGCTCCCTCTAGTGGAAATATGGGTGGTTTTTTGTTTTGTTTTTTTGCACAAAAGAAAGGTAAGAATGATCTTTCTGAGGCCTTGTTTACAGTACTTAAGTTCCGTAGCTCACATGAATTGCACTGAGGCAGGCCTAAATGCCAATGTTTGTTTCTTATTAAATTTATATCTCACCACCCTTACCTCAAATTCTGTCACGCTGAAAAATGGCTTGGAGCAACATGACCCAAACAATCGCTTTCCCTTCATATGAATACCCAAACCTTACGATTCTCTTCAGAGGCCATACTTCAAATGTCCCTGATTAGAGAACCTTTTCAGTGGTAGCTCCCTCACTGTTGGGCTAATCTCATCCAGCAGTTTCTTTCTCACCTTCCTAGGTGACCTTTTTAAGCTTTCTAAATAAATTGTGCTCTTTTTGCTGATCAGAAGGTCGGCGGTTCGAATCCCCACGACAGAGTGAGCTCCCATTGCTCGGTCCCTGACCTGGAAGCTGTATGCCGGCTCTCTTGGCCAGTAAAGCGAGATGAGCGCCGCAACCCCAGAGTCGGCCACGACTGGACCTAATGGTCAGGGGTCCCTTTACCTTTACCTTTAACCTCATCTCTTAATCTTAACCATCGCGACACTGCCCCTAATAACCGCCAGCACTCATCAAAACCACAACGCAGAGAATCAAAACCCTCCACCAGTCAGAACATGCCAGCAGAGACTCAAATAATTGATACCAGTAGAATGCTTAAATTACATTAAAACGGTGTTAAAATGGCATTTTAAAGCCTGGGAGAATAAAGGCCTCACACGAATGTGGGCATCTTTTTGAGGCAAGCGTTCCACAGCTGGATGCTGGAGGTCATTTTCCTTGTTGCAAATTTTATCATGAGCAGGCACATAGAGCAGGGCTCAGGTATGTATTTATGGGAAGAGACAATCCTTTAGCTGTTGAGGCCCCAATCTGTACAGGACTTTTTAGTTCAAAACCAATACAGTGGTACCTTGGTTTACGAACTTAATCCATACCAGAAGTCCGTTCTTAAACCAAGGTGTGCTTTCCCATAGCAGCGGGGGACCCAATTTATAAATGGAGCACACTCGACAGGAAGCGGAACATGTTCTGCTTCCAAGGCAAAGTTCACAAACCAAAACACCTTAAGAATGCAGCATTCTTAATCCATGTTGTTCATTAACCAAGCTGTTCTTAAACCAAGGTACCACTGTAATTTAGATTGGGCCCAGAAATGTATCAGGAGTCAACGAAGGCTCCAAAGAGACAGTGGAATATGTCCGTACCACATAATGTTCATATCACATAAGCCAAATGCTACCAAAAAAAGGAGAGGTGAGGTCTCTATAACTATCCTGGCAGATCTTCCAGAGAGAGCCTAACACACTTCTCAGCCTATATAAGGCTTCACTGGGCTCAAACTCATTGCTGAGGAAACATCTCAGGTGGCTTCCTCAGCAGGGCCAAGTGGAGTTGTCCATGGTCCTGAACGCTTTCTGCCTGACACGGACTTTGATTTCTTTTTGTTTCCTCAGCAAACCTTATACTCCCATAGAACTTCCCCCCAATGGCTATGACAACATTGTCTCATACTGAATGTAAAAAAACTGTGGGGGGAAAAGACTCTTGTGAATTGAAAGGGGAGACATTGTATGTACTTTTCCTTGTTTATTTGTTTGTTCTGCTTCCAAGGCAAAGTTCACAAACCAATATGTTTTGTATTACGGGGGAAATAATCTTTTAATAAAAACTAATTTAAAAAAGAAATAAAGACCAGGACCTGGTATAAGGTCACTTCCTGTGTTGCTACTATACTAGTGTGAGGAAACTTGCAGAAGTTTATATTCAGGTTGCAGATAAAGTAAAAATGAATCCTAATGTAATGAATCCAGTAGACTGAAAAGCCACTAATAAAACACTTTTTTAAAGTGTGGGGAGTGTGCTCGTGGACTTGAATGAAGCTGTGGAAGAGCAAATCCTTATAATTATTTGCAGTCGGCCATAAAATTGTCAACGTGTAGCTTTCGTTGCTAACTCAGAATGATAGCTCTCGTTTGGGTCACGCAGCATGTATAAAATAAGGCTTGAACAAAGTCATTATAAATCCTCTTTTTCTTCCCTGAGCGGGATTGCAACTGACAAGAAAGTTGCTCTTGGAGAATTTCAAGTAGGCAGCTGAGCCCAACAAGCACCGTATGTTCGCTTGCCTTTTAAATTACAATTTAAACTGACATTAAAGGTCTTCACCGGCTGATAATTCCACCCCACCCCACATGCGAGGTCCAATTACACCGAACTTTCTCACCTATGGTAGATTTATCTCCCTTTGCGGAATCTCTTGAATTACCAAAGAACAAGCTTGTCACTTGCAAACAAGTTATCATATTTCTTCAGGGGGAAATATGATTTTTTTTGCACACATGACCTTTCCAGATCAGGTGGTATTTTGCGAAGTTTGTTCTCAGCATTGGGCATGGGATTGATGCCCCTGCAGAGGTTGTTGGGACTCCCATCACCTGTGACCATTGGGCCACACTGCCTGAGGTGGATAGGAGTTGGAGTCCATCAGCACCCAGAGGGTTCTCCATCCCTGTCCCTAATAGCACCTTACTTTAGTTTTGAGGGACGTGGGTGGCGCTGTGGGTTAAACCACAGAGCCTAGGGCTTGCCGATCAGAAGGTCGGCGGTTCGAATCCCCACGACAGGGTGAGCTCCTGTTGCTCGGTCCCTGCTCCTGCCAATCTAGCAGTTCAAAAGCATGTCAAAGTGCAAGTAGATAAATACTTCCGGTGGGAAGGTAAACGGTATTTCCGTGCGCTGCTCTGGTTCGCCAGAAGCAGCTTAGTCATGCTGGCCACATTACCCGGAAGTTGTTCACCAGCTCCCTCAGCCAATAAAGCGAGATGAGCGTCACAACCCCAGAGTCGGCCACGACTAGACCTAATGGTCAGGGGTCCCTTTATCTTTTAGTGCTACTTCTGATACCCAAGCCTTCCTTGGAGATATGAGCAGATATCTAGCACCCTGTTCCTTCATCCCAGGCATCCCCAACTTGCGGCCCTCCAGATGTTTTGGCCTACAACTCCCATGATCCCTAGCTAACAAGACCAGTGGTCAGGGATGATGGGAATTGTAGTTCAGAGTGCCAAAGTTTGGGGATGCCTGCTTTATGCTTTTGTGGTTCCTTTTCTGAATTCTAGTTTAACAAATGGAATTCCTAAAATCAATTCTGTGTAATTTGCCTTGGCCTTCTTGCTCCTCCAGGTCATCTTTGCCTTCCCTGTGAATTGCTAATGTGCATCTAAACCAAGGCAATAAAGCAATCTGGATGTGCATTGTTTAACTCAGCGGTTCTCAACCTGTGGGTCCCCAGGTGTTGTTGGACTACAACTCCCATCATCCCTGAGCTCTGGCCTTGCTAGCTAGGGGTGATGGGAGTTGTAGTTCAACAACAACTGGGGACCCACAGGTTGAGAAAGGCTGGTTTAACTGGTGTATACCTGCAGCCCTAGACATTGCTGAAATTATACACTATAATAGGTTCCATAGAACTGTTTGAATGATCCCATCAGTGGTACTGCTTTATCAGTGCACTGGCAGTGAAGCCTTGTTTGTTTGTTCGTATATTTTATTTTTGGCCTCATATCCTGCCCATCATCTCAATATTGTCCCCACTCCAGGGCAGGTAGCAGGGGATAGAATGCAAATATTTTTAAAACCAGTTCCAATAACAATGTAATTAGCTAGTTCCCAGTATAACTGTCAAGGAATGCAGTCTTAAACAGCCTGTACTAAAATACATGTCTTCAGCTGGTTTCTAAAACAGCGTCATCTTGGCACCAGCTAACATGTTATGCAATAAATGCGCACAATGTGTTACTGTACTCTCTTGGCCACATTGTGCTGCAAGCTGTATGCATTTGTGCAGAGGATTACATCGAATCACAGAATTATCAAATTGGAAGGAACCCCAAGGGTCATCTAGTCCAGGCATAGCCAACCTTCGGCCCTCCAGATGTTTTGGACTACAATTCCCATCATCCCTGACCACTGGTCCTCTTAGCTAGGGATGATGGGAGTTGTAGTCCCAAAACATCTGGAGGGCTGAGTTTGAGGAAGCCTGGTGTATACGTATTATCAGGAGGTCCATTCTGCAAATTTTAGGAACAAGGCCTTCAGTGTGGTGGCACCTACTCTTTTGACTTCCTAGCACCTAAGTGCAAGACAGGAATTCTCTGCTGACTTTTTGTGCTTACTGAGGACCTTCCTCTTCCAAGAAACCTTCTAAGTTATCTTTCTGTATTGGAATTTTAGAAAAGGTGTTTCTATTGTTTTATTGGACGCGGGTGGCGCTGTGGGTAAAAGCCTCAGTGCCTAGGGCTTGCCGATCGAAAGGTCGGTGGTTCGAATCCCCGCGGCGGGGTGCGCTCCCGTTGTTCGGTCCCAGCGCCTGCAAACCTAGCAGTTCGAAAGCACCCCCGGGTGCAAGTAGATAAATAGGGACCGCTTACTAGCGGGAAGGTAAATGGCATTTCCGTGTGCGGCTCTAGCTCGCCAGAGCAGCGATGTCACGCTGGCCACGTGACCCGGAAGTGTCTCCGGACAGCGCTGGCCCCCGGCCTCTTGAGTGAGATGGGCGCACAACCCCAGAGTCTGGCAAGACTGGTCCGTACGGGCAGGGGCACCTTTACCTTTTATTTTTTTATTACTTGTTTGCTGCCCTGGGCTCCTTTAGAAGGTAAGGAAGGAAGCGTCATAAATAGGCATGCCATACGTCAGGAAATTTCCTGACATGTCCTGGTTTTTGGGTGTCGGGGTGGATTTTGATGGACTGGCAAAATGTCAGGGAATGCAAACAGCTCAAAAAGCTTAAAATCACTACTTTTGGGTTTCCCCAAATTAACTCTACAATTTTGGGGTCTTCCTCAAAAAAAAAAAAAAAAGGCTGAATAATTTTTTGGGTGCCAGGAATTTTTACTTTTTGGAAGTATGGCAACCCTAGTAATAAATTCAATGCATAAGTGAATGAATGAGTGGATCATATTATTGTTCTCTTCAGCCTTGCTTTGCTGTATTCCTTTAGGATCCGAATTGCTGGAATCAGGGGCATCCAGGGTGTGGTTCGCAAGACTGTTAATGACGAGCTGCAGGCAACCATATGGGAGCCTCAGAACATGGACAAGATAGTGCCCTCCCTGCTGTTCAATATGCACAAGATTGAAGATGTTGACAGGTGTGTAAGTGCATGCTCGATAAATCCTATTTAATTTATTTGAAAAATAAAAATAAAAATGTATATACCACCAAATATCATGGTGGCAGGCCTGCATTTAGGTTTGATGAGGCCCTAAGCTACTGAAGGTAATGGGGCCCTTTGTATATCCAGCCGTCAACAACAAATGGTTGCTGTTTTTTGTGTTGAATATATGATATATCGTAATTTATGGACTAAATAGATATCTAAAAAGGGATGCGGGTGGCGCTGTGGGTAAAAGCCTCAGCGCCTAGGGCTTGCCGATCGAAAGGTCGGCGGTTCGAATCCCCGCAGCGGGGTGCACTCCCGTTGCTCGGTCTGCCAACCTAGCAGTTCGAAAGCACCCCCGGGTGCAAGTAGATAAATAGGGACCGCTTACTAGCAGGAAGGTAAACGGCGTTTCCGTGTGCGGCTCTGGCTTGCCAGAGCAGCGATGTCACGCTGGCCACGTGACCCGGAAGTGTCTCCGGACAGCGCTGGCCCGCGGCCTCTTGAGTGAGATGGGCGCACAACCCTAGAGTCTGTCAAGACTGGCCCGTACGGGCAGGGGTAGCTTTACCTTTTTAGATATCTAAAGCCATTTGCCCATGTTGCCATGCAACCAGTCCACGCAGAATGTAGGCACCCTATATATAGAAATGAGCAAACCAGTGATATTCTAGGAAGCAGGCTAGCAGGCAGAGCCCATTACTTACATCATAGGAGCCTCCACAATACAAAACACCATTGCTGTATGTAGGTTTTATTTTATTTTTATCTTATATTTTGGAAATGCACATCCAGGTTTTTTTTCCTTTAAATTTTTTTGGGGGCCCCAAGAGAGTGGGGTCCTAAGCTATAGCTTGTTTAGCTTATACATAAATATGGCACTGGTCAGAGATGATGGGAACTGTAGTCGAAAAACATCTGGAGACGCAAGTTTGGGAAACCCTGATCTAAGATATAGCAGGGGGCAAACTGTGAAATGACATCTTTAGTGATGGTTCCAGGCATGCAAATGGGACCCACATTTTTATCTTTACTGTGCCATGTAAAACTGTTTTTCTTCTGCTCATTATTCTCCTGTACTCCTAAGATATTAATTGCTTTTAGCTCTGCAAGCGTTGTCAATATTTTTCTGGGCTTGCATTTTTATTCTGGCGAGTGTGTCTAATGTAAGCTGCCCTAGAAGCATGAACGAACTGCTGCTCATACACTTCTAAAATAAAATGATTAAAGTTAAATGGTTCTCAGTCTCAGCTTTTCAGTTCCAAAGACAATCGTGGGTCTCGCTAGAGTTGGAGCCAGACGATTTTTTGAACCCCGCTGCCCAAAGTGTGGTTGTCATAGTTCAGTACTGAAAAACAAGGGAGGAAATGTATTTAGTACAGAAGATTTAGTGGTGGGGATGAGTTGTGGCAGAGTCTTGGTTAATGTTGAATTGGATGTTTGGTTGCTTTTACCCACAGGGTCGCGAAAGATAAATCCAGCCTGTTTAAAAGCCCCTTTCAGGTGATGGTTAATTGTGCCTGTGTTGACCTGGGTCAGTGCATTCCGACAAATGCAGTTACAACCCTTCCTGCAATTGGGAACCCCATTATAGCACATGCATGCATCCTCTAAAAACTGAGAGAAGCTACACTTTCCTCATAAGTATTCCTATGCAAATGTGTAGAGATTTAATTAGCTGATTGATTACAATTCAGGCAGTGGATCAACTAAGGCTTTCAAAATTGGTAATAAAAACAGAAATACGTGAGTTAAATTTTAACTCAACCGCTTTGAAATCTCTGTTTGGACGTTGCGAATACTCCACCCGAAAAGGCTAATTTCACACGATCGACCCTCTGGATGCACATATAATAAAGAGCTTGAAAACAGTGTTTATGGATTGTTGAACTGTTGGCCTCAGACAGTGCAAGCAATAAGTTTCTCGTCTCATTTTCCTTTTGGATATTATGACTCTTTGCATATGGAGGCATTGCAGAGAGAAGCATCTTGAAGAGTGGGAGGAATAAGCAGATGGTGGAGGCAGATGGCTGTGTGTAGGAGAAAATAGTATCTGCAGCCCAACAGCGGAGGGATGGAAACACTTTCTCCACTTCAGAAAGAAGAAAACTTTAGGGTTGTTGTTTTCGTTCTTTATTTTGGCAGCGATGTGATGCTGTGTGTCTTCTTAAAAAAACAGCCACTCACAACAGTGGTTTGATGAATTGCATTAATCATAATTAAGCATATCATGGAATCAAAGAATTGTAAAGTTGTCAGGGACTCCTTCTGCTAGGCCATGACAGTCTGGCCTGCACTAAGTAACCAAACAAACTCCTGTGTTGCAAAGAAAACGTGAGCAATATCTAGGCAAAATCTAGGTCATCGTGTTGCCTGGATATTGCTGAGGTCCAGCCTGCACAGCAGTGTTGGAAGCTGTGTGTGACATGTACCTCTCGAGTTGTTTGTGTTTGTGTGTCCATTCTTGGTTGATGACTTGGAAAGATGACATTCACGCATACACGTGAATTTAAAATAACTTACAGGGCATATGGTTTTGTTTCAGTCGGATCTGCCCCTCTTCGTCAGCCTCGGGAGGGGAAAAAGAGGAAAACCCCTCTGCGCTGTCTGAGAATTGTTTCAGGGAACTGCTCGGCCGAGCAACGTACGGCAACATGAACCATGCTGTCAGGCCAGTTTTTGCGTGAGTAGGAGATGTGTGTGTGTGTGTGTGTGTGTGTGTGTGTGTAAAAAGAAAGAAAACGAAATGGCATCTGCAGTCTCACATTTGGGACTGCACAAAAAGAAGCTGATGTGCAGAATCCTATGGGTCATAGCTGTTCTCTTGGGGGACACAGAGGGTGTACCATTCCCCCCCCAAAGAAACCACAATATAGAAATTCAGTTGTCCTCTTGAATCAGAGCCAGAAGCTTACACCCAGTCATGTGAGTAGCTGCCCCAGTTTGGGATGGTGGGAGAAATTCCAATCAGTTTGCATTTCAATGTGTATCTCTTCAAATTGCACTTCTTGAAACAATATGTGAACCAAACCACATCAACCTTTCTAAACGTGCTCTTCTCCAAATTCTGCAATGTCGTTCTCCAACCAAATTATGCGACCATAAAAATACATAATGACGGAGAATGACTTGCCAAAAAGTGCAATATATTAACGTAATGATTTCGAAAATGGGTACCGTGTTTTTCGCTCTATAGGACGCACCTGACTATAGGACGCACCTTGTTTTAGAGGGGGAGAGCAGGGGGAAAAATCTCTCCCTCTCTGTGCAGCGCCCCTTCAGCGAAGCGGCAGGAGAAACGGAGCCCCTTCCATTTCTCCTTCCGCTTCGCTGAAGGGGTGCTGCGCAGCTCTCCCTCTCCCACATTGCCTTCGCCTTCAGTGAAGGCAACCCGAAGCCTCCGGAGCATGGCGGAAGTTTCCGCTGCGCTCCGGAGGCTTCAGGTTCCTTTCGCTGAAGCCAGGAGAGCAGGACTCTCCTGGCTTCAGCGAAAGGAGAGGTGAAAGGAGCAGCCTTCCCGCTGCTCCCCAAGCTTGTGGGGCTGGCGGTGGGGGAAGCCCCAAAGAGCAGGTCGGTTAGCAGCGGGGGAAGCCCAGGTCCCCCCCCCAGCCCCAGGGACCACACATTCACTCCATAAGATGCACAGACATTTCCCCTTAGATTTTAAGAGGGAAAAAGTGTGTCTTATGGAGTGAAAAATACGGTACGTTAGGCAGAATTGCAAACAAAACCTGTGTATTAGAAGAAATGTGCATGGCGATGCTCTCAATTTTTTTATGAGGCTTTAAAAAAAAGTAAAATTGCAAGCTGATGCAAAAATGTAGAGAAGTGAATTGAAGATTAGAAAAACGAGAAAGGGATAGACTGAAATTGGCATATGCATCGACCCACAGTCGCAGAACAGTGATTTGTAGGACTGGTTCATAAGATGTGTTCACTGCTGTCATATAATTGCTCACATTTAGGAATAACTTCATAATGTTTAGGTCCCGTTTGCTCTGAGCACAATGTAAAACAACGTTTAGGTTAGGGGTAGTTTGGTTTATTTTATTTTATTAAATTATATTATACTTTATCTTCTTAGACATTTGGACCACCACAGACTGTGGGATCCCAACGAATTTGCTGTCGCCATTTTCAAAATCATCATGTACTCAATACAGGTAAGGTTTATTTCTCTAACTCTGTCATTTGAAGCAAAACCCAAGGAGGCAGATGTTATTTGATGACAATCACTCATTGTTTAAATAACAGAAGGCCCCAAAACGCTACCAAATCCCTTCTCCTTCTGAGAAAATGTCAGACACTTACACATTAGCTTGGTACTCCAGAGATAGTTGTTACGTCGTCGTCCCCCCCCCCCCCCGATCTGAAACATTTGGCTCCCAAGAAAGGCAGCTGTGTTCATCTTCCTAAGCAGCAAATTGTCTTTTAAACAGATACTTGACATCTGTGTTGAAATCTCTTTTAGACACTTGACTTTCTTCTCCAACCCGAATCCCCAGTCGTTTTAAGTAAAAATTTTGCATAGCTGTACAATGCAAGAGCAACTGGAATAATAGAATACTAGAACTGTTGAGTTGGAAAGGACCCCCAAAAGTCGTTAATAATAATAATAATAATAATAATAATAATAATAATAATTTATTATTTGTACCCTGCCCATCTGGCTGGGTTTCCCCAGCCACTCTGGGCGGCTTCCAACAAAGAAGAAGAAGAAGAAGAAGAAGAAGAAGAAGAAGAAGAAGAAGAAGAGTTTGGATTTGATATCCCGCCTTTCACTCCCCTTCAGGAGTCTCAAAGCGGCTAACATTCTCCTTTCCCTTCCTCCCCCACAACAAACACTCTGTGTGGTGAGTGGGACTGAGAGACTTCAAAGAAGTGTGACTGGCCCAAGGTCACCCAGCAGCTGCATGTGGAGGAGCGGAGACGCGAACCCGGTTCCCCAGATTACGAGACTATCGCTCTTAACCACTACACAACAAAGATTAAAAATACATTAAAATGTCACACATTAAAAGCTTCCCTGGAAAGGGCTGCCTTCAGATGTCTTCTAAAAGTCTGGTAGTTCTTCTCTTTGACATCTGGTGGGAGGGCGTTCCACAGGGAGGGCGCCACTACCGAGAAGGTCCTCTGCCTGGTTCCCTGTAGCTTTGCTTCTCGCAGTGAGGGGACCGCCAGAAGGCCCTCAGTGCTGGACCTCAGCGTCCGGGTATAACGATGGGGGTGGAGATGCTCCTTCAGGTATAAAGGACCGAGGCCGTTTAGTCCAGCCCCCTGCAATGCAGGAATCTCAACATACAACGAGTCCTTGAGAACTCTCTGTGTCACAGTGAGTCAGTGCACCTGGCTGTTAACCAGAAGGTTGGAGCTTTGAGCCCACCCAGGGATTGCTGTGGGCCAGATTGCTGCATTAGATTGCCCCCAGGGTCCTTTCCAGCTCTACAGTCCCATGATTCTAAGTGTATGGAGCCTGTGGTAGCTTCAAAATGTAAACGGATTATCTCCTAACTTGGATGGAATGCTGCAAGCGCATAGACCTTGTTGCCCTCAAGTGGATCTCCTCAATTATGGATCTTCTGAATTTTGCACCTCTTCAGATTGATTCCTTTTGTGGGGGAACAGCCTGCACCACCCTAAATCTGGCACTGGTTGCACATTTTCATCTGCTTGCTGCACCCTTTATATTTAATTAATATGTGGGGGCCCAAACTATCTATCTGTCTGTCTGTCTGTCTATCTATCTATCTATCTATCTATCTATCATCTATCTATCATCTATCTATCTATCTATCTATCTAGGAGTGGGGCAAGGGAGTAGAGATCTTTGTGCACTGCAGTTAAAAATGTTGTCAACACCAGTTAAGTGTTTCCTCAGGCAGTTTGCATGAGAAAGGGAGAAAGAGCAGTTGGAATTAAATATCACAGGAAGCAGCTTTTAATTTGCAATTGAAACCGACAAGTATTTTTTTATTTCTAGGCGCAGTACTCTCATCACGTGATACAGGAAATTCTGGCGCACCTGGATTCTCGCAGGAGAGATTTCCCCCGAGTCCGAGCAGGTATCATCCAGGCCCTTTTGCAAGCAGTGGCCATTGCTGCGAAAGGTTCCATAGGTAAGTGCCATGCTATGATCATATCTGGGTGGGGTTGGACACTAGTTCTCCATCATGTTGAGAGGAGCAAGTCTGCACCGGCTCAAGGGCACCGTTCAGATCCATGTGGAAACAGGATGTGTGTTGTGATTGTGATGAAATAGAGCAGGGATGTCCAACAGGCCTATCACGATCTACTGGTAGATCTCTGGTAGCTTTTGGTAGATCGCGGTTGATTGTTGGTTAATAATAATAATAATAATAATAATAATAATAATAATAATAATAAAGGATGAAGGTGGAGACACTCCTTCAGGTATTCCCCTTTCCTCAGTGGTGGTAAAACAGAATTGGACCCCGCCTCCTCGGCCCGCCCTCCATTGTTGCAGGATCTCCAGAACGGAACAAGGAGCTTTTGCAGGCTGATTGTTTCCTTAGTGATCTTTTGGTGAGTGACTCTCCACCTTTCTCCCAGTGTGGTGTAGTGGTTAAGAGCAGTGGACTCGTAATCTGGTGAGCCGGGTTCGCTTCCCCGCTCCTCCACATGCAGCTGCTGGGTGACCTTGGGCCAGTCACACTTCTGTGAAGTCTCTCAGCCCCACTCACCTCACAGAGTGTTTGTTGTGGGGGAGGAAGGGAAAGGAGAATGTTAGCTGCTTTGAGACTCCTTAGGGTAGTGATAAAGCAGGATAACAAGTCCAAACTCCTCCTCCTCCTCCTCCTCCTAAAAAAGCTCAGCAACTTTTCCCTCTCGGCCGTCCCTGAAATAGAGATACTCTCTCCCCTACACTGGAGATATCAGCTACCCCATTTTGGTCTGTGTCTACTGACTTCTATGTACGTAGGTTTTATTTGTACGTTCCATCACCAAATGGACATGCAAGGACATTGGAGGTGGGTTAGGATACCAGACTAATGAAAAGAACAATTACATATTTCTTCCCTGCCATGTGATGAGCTGGATCGGGAAAGAAATATTGTCTTCCTTCCTCACTGAAATGTCTGGTTTTTTATGTGTGTTAGATTTCTGTCCTACTCCCAAAGAAGTCCAGGGCTCCTTGAAACAGATGCAAATGGTTGCAAATGATTTAATAATCTAATAAGTAAAAGCAGCCCCATGATTTTCAGTCTAGACTTGAATTACTTTATTTTATTATAATTGTTTTGATACTATTCATATTTTTTTCTCTGCCCATCCACTGTTAATGGCAAAACCTACTTAAATTCTTGATTTACATTATGAAGTGTTTGTTTTATTATTTTTTAATATTTAAAAGGATGCCATCATTTTTTTAGTCCCAAAGAGAACATTTTTATATCTGCAGTTGCAGATCAAACAACAGGTTGTGAAAGCATCGTCAGATGTGTGGAGGGGAAAAAAATAAAAGAACAAACCAGTGACTCATTTCAAAGTCACACTAATTGTGGTGCAATCGAGCCAATTGCCTCATCTGTGTATTTTCATTTGGGAACATGCACAAATTGCTCCCAGTTGGAAGCCCTGACCGCCTAACAATGAACAGTAGTCTGGCACGATGTGTGTGTAGTAGCTCATCAGCGCTTTGGGGAACAGCGAACAATAGTATAAATTGCAAATCCCAAAAATGATGGTGAGTGCGTGGTGGCGGTTTTCAGAAAGGCGTAAATAGCCACGGCTGGAGGGGAGGAGTATGTTTGGAACACCCCCTAATTTAAAGTTGCAGCAGAATGATGATTTGGTCAACATTTCCAGAGCTCTTAAGGCTGATTTGGTTTAACTCCAGGACTTCTGGAGGTGGCAGTGGGAGGGTCGGGTGATAAACGTGTCTGGTTATAAGGCCAGAAGAGAGTTGGCGGCGAAAAGCCAATTCTTGGGGTGGGAGTGGCGTGCTGAACTTGGGTTTCGACTTAATTTTATTTATTGCATTTCAGTGCCTCTTTCCATTTCAACAAATCCCAACAACAACAAATTTACAAACAGTAAATAACAGCAACATTATTGAGCAATGCAAGTACAGCACAAATCATGCAATGTAATTAACAGATCATCCGTAGAAACAATTGCAATCTAGGACCCTCGTACCTATGGGACTGCCTCTCCTGGTATGTCCCACAGAGGACCTTAGGGTCTTCAAATAAAAACATCTTGGAGGTCCCGGGCCACAAGGAGGTTAGGCTGGCCTCAACCAGAGCCAGGGCTTTTTCGGCTGTGGCCCCGATCTGGTGGAACGCTCTGTCACAAGAGACTAGGGCCCTGCGGGACTTGACATCTTTCTGCAGGGCCTGCAAGACAGAGCAGTTCCACCAGGCCTTTGGCCAAGGCACAGTCTGACCCCCTCCTTTGGTAATCCTCATAGAACTCTAGCCCAATGGTTGCCATTAATTTGATTTTGAATTAATTTTAGAATGAATTGATTTTAGAATGTATTTCAATTAATTGATTGTGATTTTATGTACCGTATTTTTCATCCCATAGGACACACCGGCCCATAGGACGCACCTAGTTTTTTGGGGGGGAAATAAAGGAAAATATTTTCCCCTTAATTTCCCCCCCCCCAAACCAGGTCAGGGAATCCAACGAGGTCGGGGAGCAGCGGGATGGCGGCGCTCCGCCTCCCCGCTGTCCCCAGAGCTTGTGGGGCTGCCTGATGTCTGCCTGAAGCGTGGGGCGCTCTGCTTCAGTGCACCCCATGCTCCGGGAAGCAGGCTGCTATCTGCAGCCTAGAGAGCCCTGCGGGACCTCCCGCAGGGCTCCCTCGGCTGCGGATATCTTCCCGGCGGCGAGGCGCTCTGTTTCAGGGTGCCCCGCGCGCCGGGCAGCAGGCAGCTATCCGCAGCCTAGGGAGCCCTGCGGGAACTCCCACGGGCTCCCCAGGCTTGCTGATAGCTTGCTGAAAGCCTGCATTTGCCCCATAAGACGCACCCAGATTTCCCCTTCATTTTTGGCGGGGGAAAAGTGCGTCCTATAGGGTGAAAAATACGGTATACTGTGTTATTTTTACTGTTGTTAGCCGCTCTGAGCCCGGCTTCGGCTGGGGAGGGCGGGATATAAATAAATTGTTGTTGTTGTTGTCATTTATAAAACACCATTGATTGAGGAACCAGTAACTAAAAGATAAGCGTCACAATTGCAGTATAAGTCATATTATATGGTAAGCAAATCAAGAAGAGGATTAGGCAAATTCTTGGAGGGGAGGGCTGTCGATGGCCACTAGCCATGATGGCTATCTTCCACCACCACAGTTGGAGGCAGCAATGCTCTTCCAAATACTCGTTGCTGGAAACAACAGGTAGGGAGAGGGCTGTTGTGCTTGAATCCTACTTGCTGCTTTCCCATAGGCATCAGGCTCGCCACTGTAAGAACACGACGCAGGACTGGATGGGCCATGATCCAGCAGCTTCGTCTTAGGTTCTTAATAAGGCATTAAGTGTTGGTGTTGACCTTTAAATGGCCTCGGCCCAGTATACCTGAAGGAGCGTCTCTACCTCCATCGTTCAGCCCAGACAATGAGGTCCAGTGCCAAGGGCCTTCTGGTGGTTCCCTCACTGCAAGAAGCAAAGCTACAGGGAACCAGGCAGAGGGCCTTCTCTGTAGTGGCGCCCGCCCTGTGGAACGCCCTCCCATCAGATGTCAAAGAGATAAAGAACTACCTGACATTTAGACGACATCTGAAGGCAGCCCTGTTCAGGAAAGTTTTCAATGTGTGACATTTTGATGTCTTTTTAATCTTTGTTAGAAGCCGCCCAGAGTGGCTGGGGAAACCCAGCCACATGGGCAGGGTACAAATACAGTGGTACCTCAGGTTAAGTACTTAATTCGTTCCAGAGGTCCGTACTTAACCTGAAACTGTTCTTAACCTGAATCACCACTTTAGCTAATGGGGCCTCCTGCTGCCGCCGTGCCACCGGAGCACGATTTTTGTTCTCATCCTGAAGCAAAGTTCTTAACCTGAATCACTATTTCTGGGTTAGCGGAGTCTGTAACCTGAAGCGTATGTAACCTGAGGTACCACTGTAATAAATTATTATTATTATTACTATTATTATTATTAATCTATAAAGCAATATTAGCAAAATAGCAATTAAAAAAGAAGCTAAACGCTGTTCTCACACACTCTTTCCCCCCACCAATGACTCAGAATCTTTCAGTCTGTTCAGTTCATTAACATAAACACACACACACACACACACACACACACACACTGATTATACAGGTGTTGTAGAAATTTAAAAGGGGTTCCTAGAATGGAGCTCTCCCTTCCAGAAACCCAAAATGAGAGGATGTAGGCTCCAAATGAAAAGTTAGGCCTTTATTGGAATACAAATGCACATAGGGACAGCGTCAAAAGTAAGGAGGAGGCACATACACACAAAAAACCCCAAATCTCACTACAGCCAACCAAAGACAACCAACCACATCCTAGGCCACCCCTAACCTCTCTCACCACCAAGGAAATACAACAAGTGAATAGTAAGAGAACCCACACAAGTGACACTGGCACAAAACCCCACACATACACTAAGTAGAGGAATTGAAGCCTTGACACCCCACCCCACTCGCCGTTCCTCTCTCCTTCCTAACCTAACACTGTATGTAGCACTAATGTCTCACAACAAATGAAACCGACCTGTAGAAAACGCAACTTGGAAAAAAAGAGACAATGCATGTACCGTATTTTTCGCTCTATAAGACGCAGCAGACCACAAGACGCACCTAGTTTTTGGAGGAGGAAAACAGGGGGGGGGAAATCTGAATCTCAGAAGTCAGAACAGCAAGAGGAATGGCTGCGCAGTGAAAGCAGCAACCCCTCTTTCTGTTCTGGCTTCTGGGATAGCTGCGCAGCCTGCATTCGCTCCATAAGACGCACACACATTCCCCCTTACTTTTTAGGAGGGAAAAGATGAGTCTTGTAGAGCAAAAAATACGGTATTTTTGTAAACTAAGAAATTTTAAATAAAAATTTATTTTAAAAAGTAAGGAGGAGGCTGCAAACAACCACATCCAAAACAATGTTTCTGAAACGCTTCCAGATTGCACACGTGATTTCTATTTGCTAATCAAAGGGTCACAGCAATCTTATCAATTGCAACCCAATGCTGTCAGCCTGAACAAATCGAAACCATTTGACTCTTCAAATCAGCCCTCATCATAATATCCTGTGATTACATATAATCATTTTTCAATGTCTTTCTTTATTAAGACTCAGACTAATTTTCCTATTCATTAAATGTCTCCCTCTTTCATCTGTCTACAAAACAATTCAAGATTAATCACAATTGCCATGCCTAGCTGATTCTCTGTTCGTGCATACAATGGCCACCATAGATTCTAACAGGTTATTCTTTCCAGTGTTCTGGAATGGGCATTTGCTACACAGACAACCTAAAAGCAGCTAGTTCTATACTGTAAAAGGCAGACACAGCCCTCTTCAGTTTACCTAGAGCATAGGCTCAAAAGAAAACGGAATCATCAGAATGGTACAGTTTTATGAAATTATCATTTTCTCCATCACAGGAGGACCCTTCTCTAATAGAAATACAGTGGTACCTTGGGTTACATACGCTTCAGGTTACATACGCTTCAGGTTACAGACTCCACTAACCCAGATATATTACCCCGGGTTAAGAACTTTGCTTCAGGATGAGAACAGAAATCGTGCTCCGGTGGCATGGCGGCAGTGGGAGGCCCCATTAGCTAAAGTGGTACCTCAGGTTAAGAACAGTTTCAGGTTAAGAACGGACCTCTGGAGCGAATTAAATACTTAACCCGAGATACCACTGTACCTATAACAGAGCCATATTTTAACTTACAAGTTATTAAGTTAAACCTGTGACCCATCCAGGGCCAGATTTAGGTTTGATGAGGCCCTAAGCTACTGAAGGTAATGAGGCCCTTTATATGTCCAGCTGTCCTTTGTCAACAACAAATGGTTGCTGTTTTTTGTGTTGAATATATGCTTTATGGTAATTTATGGGCTTAATAGGTATCTAAAGCCATTTGCCACTGTTGCTGTATCTAGGTTTTATTTTATTTGTTTCTTATCTTATATTTTGGAAATGTACATCCAGTGGGGTTTTTTCCCCTTTACATTTTTTGGGGGGCCCCAAGAGAGTGGGGCCCTAAGCTATAGCTTGTTTAGCTTATACATAAATCTGGCAGTGGACCCGTCCCTCCGAAAAGTGGTATTCAAGGCAGCGACCACCAGCAGTACAATTACAACAAAATGCAACCATCTCAATGCCCTTGGGTTTATTCAGCTGCGTCCCTCTGGGCCTCTGCTGCTATAGCCAATGTTACGTCATATTGGGTGGTGCGCATGACAGCTTGGACTTGATGGTCTGGGTCTGCACTGAGTGTCTTGCTGCCGGCGGAACAAGCAAGGAGACTCCAGGACTCTTGAGTCAACTCCAAGTTGCAGATGCCACATAGGGAATAGGCCCAAACCTGAGCCCCAGTTACCACTATGATCGACAAGAAGATGACAACTTTGGCTTTGTTGAGGCTTTAGCCCTTGTTGCAGACCCTTTGTCCAGGCAATACAGATCCCCACACGGAGTCACAATAACAACAAGGCCTTCTGCCTGTCCTGGGACTTTATTGGGATCCCCTCTTGAGGCAGCCATAGATGCCCATAACTTGGCCTGGTCCCAGTGTGCTTGGTGGGTTCAGGCTAAGGGGTCACTCGCTTCTGAGCCCTTTAACTCCCCAGTAGTTGCTTGCTGTAGGCTGTGGGGTTTGGGGAGGGACAGTTTTAGCGGTCCTCTGGGTGGCAGTTTTAGGACCTTCAAGCAGCCAATGAGCTCATTCCCCAGTTATACCTTTGGCGGTAGAAAGCAAATAAAAAGTGGAGAATGGGTTCTCCATTAATGGTCCATGACTCTCAGTGCCTTTAGCTGAAGACTACATCTGTGGAGAGAGGGACACGGGTGGCGCTGTGGGTTAAACCACTGAGCCTAGGGCTTGCCGATCAGAAGGTTGGCAGTTCGAATCCCTGTGACGGGGTGAGCTCCCGTTGCTCGGTCCCTGCTCCTGCCAACCTAGCAGTTCGAAAGCACATCAAAGTGCAAGTAGATAAATAGGTACCGCTCTGGCGGGAAGGTAAACGGCGTTTCCATGCACTGCTCTGGTTCGACAGAAGCAGCTTAGTCATGCTGGCCACATGACCTGGAAGCTGTACGCCGGCTCCCTCGGCCAATAAAGCGAGATGAGCGCCGCAACCCCAGAGTCGGTCACGACTGGACCTAATGGTCAGGGCTCCCTTTACTTTACCTTACATCTGTGGAGAATTTTTTTCACTTTTCTGTGTTTAAGAAAGCTGAAGTAAGATGCCTCCATTCTTGACACTGTCCACTTGAAACAGAGAATCCAACATTTAAGAACATGAGAAGAGCTGGATCGTTGGATCTATCCAAAGGCCCAACTAGTCTAGCATTTGTTGCTCACAATGGCCAACCAGATGAGTGCAACATCACACTCGCTGCCAGTGATTCAAAGCCACTGGTATTCAAAGACATACTTCTCAAAATTTGGGTCCCAGTGACCCACCCTTTCCTTCCCAAAGGTTGAAGCCGTTGGTTTTCGTCTCTCCACAGGCCCAACTGTCTTAGAAGTCTTTAACACCTTACTGAAGCATCTACGTTTCAGCGTCGATTTCGAATTGAGTGACAGGCGTAGTTCAGTGAGCAGTGCCAGCTTCAGTGCAAGTGCCAAGGAGAATGACGAGAGAATTGTCCAGAATGCTATCATTCAAACAATTGGTGAGTAATTTTTAATAGTTTTAAGGTTTCATTTGTGGGGTGGAGGCAAAAGCAGTCCTCTGAACCACCCCAAGATCTGCGGGTACAGGGCGGTATACAGATGTAAAATAAATAAAAGCAGCCATGATAATGATAAAAAAATCATCATCATCATTATTGTTATTAAGGTGGGACATGGAGGTGAAGAGCATGTAATATTATTAGCAGTAGTAGTAGTATTACAATTATTTGTTGTCTCCAATGCTAGTCCTACTTAGAGACACATTTGACGAACTTAGGTCCATTAATTTCCATGAGTCTACTCTTGAGTAAAACTTAGCTGGATGTTTTTATTTATTACATTTGCTTGCAACTTCATGCAAAAAAAAGAAGTCTCAAGGCAACTTAAGCTGAAATACAACGTACTAAAAACTAGGAAAATCAGAAAACACCAAAAATGCTCATCCAGAGACAACAATGACAAAATAAAATAAAATAAAATAAAATAGACTTTTCAAAATTGCACAGTCTCTCGTCCTGATGTAGGAGTAATCCACATAGTGCAACCCCATTGGATGCTGTTTGACTAAAACTCCCATCAGCCCCAGTCAGTAAGTCAGTAATGATGGGAGTTGTAGTCCATTTGGAGAGCACCACATTGGCCACATCTGTCCTAATGCATGTTAACTGGAATATTTTGTGTTTCTTTTTCTTCTTAAAATTTAAAAAATCATAACAGGAGAGGAAATTTTTAATATGCAAACCAAGGAAAATAGCCAAAAAAAAGAAAACTAAAATCATATGAATGATAAAATCCAGCCTGGGGAGACAAAACAATTACCAATTGCTGGTTTTTCATTTTGGGGCAGAAGAAAATCCATTGTTGTCTGTTAATATTTCTTTCTGGAATTAAAAATAAATAAATCTTTTTGCACTTAGGTTTCTTTGGAAGCAACCTGCCAGACTACCATCGGTCCGAGATTATGTTGTTCATTATGGGGAAAGTTCCTGTTCTGGGAGCAACTTCGCACACACTGGACACAAGCCAGTTTGGGTTTGTTCAGATTGCTACATATTTGGGGCTTCCAGTGGGAAATTTGTTTATCCTAAAAGAGGCAGAAATAAAGGATGGCAGGCTTTGCATACAGGCTTGGATCCTGAATAATATGGGCAGATGGAAGCATATAGAGAAGGGGCTTTTCCTATTTGTCCTTCCCCTTTGCAGCTTCTTGCTTCCCCCTGCCAAAGAAATTCTCCGGAGAATCACATACACACACACAAACAAACCAGGCTGGCATAGGTCAGGGAGGAATCACTCAAAATGGTGTGGAGAGACTTTGCGTGAACACAGCCCAACTCTTTAAAATACCCCTATTCTTTTTAATCTGATTTCCATAAAGAAAGTGTGTAGCCATAGGCGGTTTCCAATTTTGTCTGTGAAGCGAATAACAACTGGAGAGAAATAGAATTGCATTATATATGCTGAAATATGGGTGGCCCTGTGGGTTAAACCAAAGAGCCTAGGGCTTGCCGATCAGAAGGTCGGCGGTTTGAATCCCCGCGACGGGGTGAGCTCCTGTTGTTCAGTCCCTGCTCCTGCCAACCTAACAGTTCGAAAGCACATCAAAGTGCAAGTAGATAAATAGGTACTGCTCCAGTGGGAAGGTAAACGGTGTTTCCGTGTGCTGCTCTGGTTCGCCAGAAGCGGCTTAGTCATGCTGGCCACATGACCCGGAAGCTGTATGCCGGCTCCCTTCGCCAGCAAAGCGAGATGAGCGCTGCAACCCCAGAGTTGTCCCCAACTCGACCTAATGGTCAGGAGTCCCTTTCCCTTTACCTGCATCAAAGCAAAAGTATGTAAGAACATAAGCCCTGCTGAAAAAGGGCCAATGTAGCCCAGGATCCTGTTCTTACAGTGGCCAACCAGATCCCTGTGTGAAGCCTGCAAACAGAAGCAAAGCACAAGAGCCCCCTCCCCACCTGGAACGTGGACAAACTGGAACGTGTCCAGAGGAGGGCAACCAAAATGATCAAAGGCCTGGAAACGATGCCTTATGAGGAACGGCTAAGGGAGCTGGGCATGTTTAGCCTGGAGAAGAGGAGGTTAAGGGGTGATATGATAGCCATGTTCAAATATATAAAAGGATGTCACATAGAGGAGGGAGAAAGGTTGTTTTCTGCTGCTCCAGAGAAGCGGACACGGAGCAATGGATCCAAACTACAAGAAAGAAGATTCCACCTAAACATTAGGAAGAACTTCCTGACAGTAAGAGCTGTTTGACAGTGGAATTTGCTGCCAAGGAGTGTGGTGGAGTCTCCTTCTTTGGAGGTCTTTAAGCAGAGGCTTGACAACCATATGTCAGGAGTGCTCTGATGGTGTTTCCTGCTTGGCAGGGGGTTGGACTCGATGGCCCTTGTGGTCTCTTCCAACTCTATGATTCTATGAAAACCTGCAGTTCCCAGGAACTGGTATTGAGAGGGATACTGCCTCCATCTGTATAGGTAGAACTTAGCCAACATGGTTAGTATAGCCTTATCTTCCACAAATTTGTCTAATCCTCTTTTGAAGCCATCCAAGTTGGTGGTCATCACTACCTCCTGTGAGGTTGAATTCCACAGTTCAGCTGTGCGTCATGTGAAGAAGTACTTCCTTTTATCGGCCCTGAATCTTCCAACATTCAACTTCATTGGATGTTTCTGAGTTCTGGTATAATGAGAGAAGAAACAAAACATTTCTCTATCTAGTTTCTCTTCTTGCACGCTTTTACAGGTTGTAAACCTTATCTAGTCACCTACAGCTGGTGAGAATCTCTTTCTTGGTTGTTTTATTTTTTCCCTTTTATGCCACAACTAGCTGACATAGGTAGGTACATATGGAGTTGCAGGCTACTAAGACTGTTGTTGTTGTTCAGTCGTTTAGTCGTGTCCGACTCTTCGTGACCAGGCACTCCTGTCTTCCACTGCCTCCCGCAGTTTGGTCAAACTCATGCTGGTAGCTCCGAGAACACTGTGCAACCATCTCGCGCTCTGTCGTCCCCTTCTCCTTGTGCCCTCCATCTTTCCCAACATCAGGGTCTTTTCCAGGGAGTCTTCTCTTCTCATGAGGTGGCCAAAGTATTGGAGCCTCAGCTTCAGGATCTGTCCTTCCAGTGAGCACTCAGGGCTGATTTCCTTAAGAATGGATGCGTTTGATCTTCTTGCAGTCCATGGGACTCTCAAGAGTCTCCTCCAGCACCAAGACTAAGACTATTCAAGACCTAATAGCTACTGTAGATTTCTTTGCAAGATTCTAATAAAAGAGCCATTATTTCCAACATCCACCTTTTGCAGTTTGCCACTCTCATTGGTGTTTGCAATCAGCTGTTTAAAATAATTTTGCAAGTGTATTTTGAGAGATGTTTTTATTATTTAACAAGAATACTTTGTTTTGTTTTACAGCATGATTAGGGGGAAATCGTTTTTTCTTGTTTTGCACTTGAATTTATTGGCTCACTGGGCCTTTTCCAGTCCTGTGTTGCTATGTTGAGCCTTCCAATCACCTAACAAATTAATTTCCCTCTCCAATAATTCATGAGGGACCCGTCCAGCCAAATAGAATGTGGTTAACTGGAAACACCTTCGGCTTTCTATAAAACTAAAAGTTCTGACCAGTGTGGCAGAAGGCTGCCTATTTTGGCCTCAATTGATTCTGTAGGCTTCTGAGAAATGCTTTCTAGAGGAGAATGGTGCTGATAAATGGGCTTCTGGTGGAAATGAATAATTCAGAATCATTCGGCTTCGTTCTCTGCTCATTGATTTTCAGACGGGGAGTCACGAAGCAGCAAACTTAAGGCAATCGGGATGATTCTTATTGTGATGGGGATTTTATTCCTCCGTAAATTCAAATCATCAATACACAGTTATATTTTATTCATTGCTTTTCTAAGGAAACCACCAGACTCCCATGGCTTTTTATTTTTCAGTTTTAATTAGGCATATCAGCCTCTAGAACTCTTTATCGGTCTGGTTATTTTCTGTGCTGCATACATTGTTGTTGTTTAGTTGTTCAGTCGTGTCCGACTCTTTGTGACCCCATGGACCAGAGCACGCCAGGCCCTTCTGTCTTCCACTGCCTCCCACAGTTTGGTCAAACTCATGCTGGTAGCTTCGAGAACACTGTCCAACCATCTCGTCCTCTGTCGTCCCCTTCTCCTAGTGCCCCCCATCATTCCCAACATCAGGGTCTAATCCAGGGAGTCTTCTCTTCTCATGAGGTGGCCAAAGTATTGGAGCCTCAGCTTCAGGATCTGTCCTTCCAGTGAGCACTCAGGACTGACTTCTGTAAGAATGGATAGGTTTGATCTTCTTGCAGTCCTTGGGACTCTCAAGAGTCTTCTACAGCACCATAATTCAAAGCATCAATTCATCGGCGATCAGCCTTCTTTATGGTCCATCTCTCACTTCCATACATCACTACTGGGAAAACCATAGCTTTTACTATGCGGACGTTTGTTGGCAAGGTGATGTTTCTACTTTTTAAGATGCTGTCTAGGTTTGTCATTGCTTTTCTCCCAAGAAGCAGGCATCTTTTAATTTCGTGGCTGCTGTCACCATCTGCAGTGATCACGGAGCCCAAGAAAGTAAAATCTCTCACTGCCTCCTTTTCTTCCCCTTCTATTTGCCAGGAGGTGATGGGACCAGTGGCCATGACCTTCGCTGCATACATATAAAGGAGCAGATCTCTCTTAGCCCTCTTGGTATTTTTTTTCTTTGAATGAGGCTAGCAAATGATGCATAATATACTAGTGTGCAACTGAGGACTGTCCAGAGAGCAGTTGCTCTCCCCAACCCTCTACCACATAGTTTCATGCTGCAGAGAGAAGCGCTAAATGGTCCGAAGCAAATTGTGTTCCGCTGTTCACTACTTCTGATTCTGCAGTGCCATTCTGGTTTTGCTAATCCATCTCAGGTCTGAGAGTTCCTCATCCGAATCATTAGTGTTGTCCTCTTGCTTCAGGGTGTCAACCACTTTGAACTAGCGAGATGCCCCCTCCCCACCCCCCAAAATAATACCGTTCTTTTGGATGGGACCTAAATAGAGCATCAACAGTTTCAAAGGACATGGGGATATTTTGAGCATTCAAAGGGTCCAAGTCCCTCTCTTGTCTTCTGCTTTAACCTTTAAGGAAGGAGGTCAGCAGCAGAAGGTCTCTTCAAAGCCAGAAAAGTCTGACAGGTGTCTCTTTCTTCCTGGTAGCCAAAATTAATGGGCCCTGCCAACATAGTGACACTACAGTGGTACCTCGGGTTACATACGCTTCAGGTTACATATGCTTCAGGTTACAGACTCCGCTAACCCAGTAATAGTATCTCAGGTTAAGAACTTTGATTCAAGATGAGAACAAAAATCGTGCTCTGGCGGCGCGGCAGCAGCAGGAGGCCCCATTAGCTAAAGTGGTGCTTCAGGTTAAGAACAGTTTCAGGTTAAGAACGGACCTCCGGAACGACTTAAGTACTTAACCCAAGGTACCACTGTACTGGTCTCTTTTTCCACTTGGGAACACGAGGTGAATCTAAGATGAATCCCAGCTTGGGAGATAGGCGGGATATAAAGACATCAAATGAATGAATTGTTGGATCAATCCATCAACCTCGGATGGATTATTAAGAAGGATTGGGTCCTGCATCACTTTCGCTGCATGTGTGGGCCAGCATCCATACTCTGCAGAGTTACACCTCAACACAGCTCCTTCCTTGGTAGCATCTTGTTGAAGGTACATAAACACTCATGGACACCATAAAGATTCAGTCAAGTGTAGAGGTTTACTTGACAGGCATAAAAGCATATTGGTAGCATATATATACAGTGGTACCTCGGCTTACAAACACCTCAGGTTACAAACACTTTGGGTTACAGACTCCGCTAACCCGGAAGTAGTACCTCGGGTTAAGAACTTTACCTCAGGATGAGAACAGAAATCGCGTGCCGGTGGCGCAGCAGCAGTGGAAGGCCCCATTAGCTAAAGTGGTACCTCAGGTTAAGAACGATTTCAGGTTAAGAACGGACCTCCGGGACAAATTAAGTTCATAACCAGAGATACGACTGTACAGACATTCACCACTGCTGTGGTCAAGGCATGCTTAGAGTCCAGCAAGAGTCCAAGACTCTTTGCTTCTCTCACCACAACCTTTCCACAGCTATTCCTGGCCGTTGCTTTAGAATTGCTAGATTCCCTGCCATACCGCCACTTTCTGGCGAGGCAAATGTGGAAACACAGAACACTGCCTTTCCATCTTTTTACACCGAGGCTGTTCCACTGCCAGCTGCTCAGCTCGCAAATCACTGGTTGGTGCGTTGGCTGGGAAACGAACCCAGGTCAACTGCTTGGAAGGCAGTTATGGTCACCTCTTCGGCCTTCAGAGTTCTCGTTTGAATATGAATGACCTAGGCATCACTTCTTCTAGTCAGTGTGGATTTTAACTAAAATACAACAATTTACAGCATTTTGTTGCTTGGGCCACATGGATTCTTCCAGCTTTTGCTTCTGTTCTGAGGCTCACTATTCCAGCTTGCCATTTTATCTTAACATTTTATCATATTCTGCATCCCACAGCCACCAACTATGGAAGTTGTTGTTGTTTATCTATTTAAGAGAGAGAGAGAAGTGTTGATTCAAATTAACTTTGGTTTTTCCCTCCATTTCCTTTAGGGATTTGGGAACCAGGCGAATTCAAATTATGTTGCTGAGATCGTTACTGATGGTAAGTAATGAAGGAAATTCACATGATGGCTTTTATATCCTTATTTTAAAAGATGCATTTTACAGCATGGCTAAGCAGGCAGAATAGCCACTTCTTTAAACTTGAAGCAAAAGTAAAATAGAGTGGTGTTTTCCATAGGACTAGTCCACATTTGCAAATACTTTTGCGTGGCAAGTTCCCTCCCCCATATGAAATAAAGACACCAGACACATTATTTAAGGTTAATGGGCGTAAATGGCCACAACTTTATTGATTACAGAATTGAAGGTATTGGCCCTAGGCATTGGCTCCTATCACTACCCGGCATGGTAACCGGGAAGGGTTGAACACGAACCGTGGGTGTCCCGTTGGAGTACGCCAACTAGGACCCCCACGGGTGTCACCGCTCGTAGGCGTGCCGGCGGCCCTCACCTTACTAGGTCTCGGACAAGGCAACGCCCCCGGAGTCCTCTACCGGACTACCCTTTTTCTCGCGGGAAGGTGATGGCGTGTTCTTCCCCCCATCCATTTGCATAACAATAGACCCCTGCCAATGCCTAACCGCCAAAACCGCGAAGTTGTGACGATTTGCTACGAGGTAGGCGAAAAAACCAAAGGCTGAAAATCCGCCACTTGGAAAAATTCCTACCAGGCCCCTTGCGGCGACCAACCGAAGTCCATAGCAAGGTCAAGACTGCCTAACCTAAGGGTGGGTGGGCTGGGAAAAACTTCTCTGCTGCCGAGGAGTGAAGAGGGCGATCCCGGGGCGTGCCTGGCCTTAAATAGCGCAGGCCACACCTCCCCCGCCCGCCGATTGGCGGACAGGGGGAGGGCGGAGAGGCACGCCCCCGGGGATTCCCTTGCTCTCGCGGGGGCTAAGTTCCAGCCCCCGCACTTGTGGGAGGGGCCAGCCCGCAACACCCTCTCCTCCCGAGGCTCGGAAATGGCTTTGCGTGGCAAGTTCCCTCCCCCATATGAAATAAAGACACCAGACACATTATTTAAGGTTAATGGGCGTAAATGGCCACAACTTTATTGATTACAGAATTGAAGGTATTGGCCCTAGGCATTGGCTCCTATCACTACCCGGCATGGTAACCGGGAAGGGTTGAACACGAACCGTGGGTGTCCCGTTGGAGTACGCCAACTAGGACCCCCACGGGTGTCACCGCTCGTAGGCGTGCCGGCGGCCCTCACCTTACTAGGTCTCGGACAAGGCAACGCCCCCGGAGTCCTCTACCGGACTACCCTTTTTCTCGTGGGAAGGTGATGGCGTGTCCTTCCCCCCATCCATTTGCATAACAATAGACCCCTGCCAATGCCTAACCGCCACTCGAGCGTAGCTCGCCGCCAATACCTTCAGGCCTGCAACCAACCCCTAATACCTACTTTGATGTCCCCCAACCATATATCGTTCCCAGCATCAGACAAATGCACGCCATCCCGCCTGTAGAGGGCCTCGTTGCTGAACTGTATATTTGGGTGTTGAATGATCCACCCGCCCAAGGCCACCACTCTACGTTCCACTGCCCGCTCTAAAACTTTCCTCGCTTTATTCACACCAACTGGACTCACACAGTCCCTCCAAGTCCTCCTCTCAAGCAACGAGGACCACAGTATTTTGATGTTTGGGTACACTGTCACCAGCTCGGACAGGTCATCAAAAATGTTCCATCTGAGATCAATCGCCTTGCGATATGCGAGATCGTTTTCTCCCAACTGAATCACCAATGCATCAGGGGGCCCCTCTGAGGCAGCTCTCGCCATCACTGCTGGCTTAAACTCACTCCAGCGCATCCCTCTCCGCGCTAGGCACGCCAGCTCCACATTCGCAGGCAACTTCAGATTTTGCCCCAGTCCTGTACTCATGGCCCGATTCTTGGCCCAATGTACTATACTGTGGCCCACCAACCAAATGCGCACCCTTCTAGTTCCTGGAAAGCAAGCAGATAGGGAAAGAGAGTTCAGTGGCATTCTTCCTAGTCATACGTTATTTCTGACATAAGTTTTATAAGCATTAGATCTCCACCTCCCCATTTCCTTGATCCTCTCGGTGGAGAGCCCCAGATGCACCGCGGTGGTGGCCGCACCAATACGGAAGGAGTGTGCCGCAAACTCTGCCGCAGGCAAACCACATGCCGTTAAAGCCATCCGCATTACCCGGGTGAATTGCTGCCTAGCCAGTCGCGACCCGTCTGCGTGAATAAACAAGGGTCCAGGGTTCTTGGGTCTTAGGTATAGAAAGCGTCTCGCGTCCCTAACCGGGCAGGGCCCCTTGTCCTGAGCTGCTGGAAGGCGAAGTAGGGCCCCTTTTCCCTGCTGGTCTGTCTTTGAGCTCCGGACCCGGATGATTAGGTCCGACCGTGACAGTGTTATGTCACTTAATAAGATGCCCCTCTGAGCATGGGTAACTCCCCCTTCACAGACGACCTCTCCTATGCGTAGGGCGCCGAAAAAGGATATTGAGAACGCAGCCGAGAATAGGCGCGCTTCATACTTAGACCAGCATACCGTACGTAATGCCTTGTGAATCTGGGACAAGATGTCATATGTTATAGGCCGCCTCCCGTCTGCACTAGGGGGGTGCTGCCTGCGCCAACCCTCCAGAGTTTTGCGTACGATGAAAGCTGCGCACGGGTCGGTCGTGAAAAAGGCTTTACAGAAGTAAGATATCCCTGCCGACTGGATATTGAGGGTCTTAGGGGCCCTGCCTAACTCCTTCAGGTGAGCCAGGTAGTGGAGGACCTCTCTTGTTGAAGGGGCAGCATAGGGCCTAGCACCTGGTGCTTTACTGCGGAAAATTAGGAAATCGGCCCAAGCCTTCTTGTATGAACGCATCGTGGACGGGGCCACAGCACCGAATACTCCCTTCATTACTTCTCTCTCCCAATCCTCCAGAGATGCTCCGGGAAAGGCATCGATGATTGCTCCGCATCCGGCGCTAATGAGCGAAAGCGCTCCATCTGAAAACGAGACAGAGCATCCGCGATGTCATTATTAACGCCAGGCACGAATTTGGCCGAAAAGTATATGTTCCGTTCCAGACACAGAAGAACAAAGGCTCGTAATAGGTTTCCTACTCTGGTGGAGCGTGCGGATTGTCTAGCTAGGACCGCCACCACTGCTTGATTGTCTGTATTGAAGCAAACCCTATGATTGCTGAACTGTTCTGCCCAGAGGTGTACTGCCACTACTATTGGGAAAAACTCCAAGAATGTAAGGTCACGAGTAATGGGCTGTCCTCTCCATTCCGTGGGCCATTTTTTGGCACACCATTGGCCTTTAAAGTACACTCCAAAGCCCAGTGACCCTGCGGCATCCGACTGCACTTGGAAGTCGGTGTTGAGTGCCATGGAGTCTTGCCATAAGGATATACCGTTGTACTTTTCTAGGAATTGCAACCAGACGCCTAAGTCTGCCTTAACCTCCTTGGATAGGCGAACCCTGTGCTGTGGCGCCTTAAGACCTGCCGACAGTCTGGCGAAGCGGTTACAAAAGGGGCGCCCCGGCGCCACCACCCTACAAGCAAAATTTAGGTGGCCTAACAGGGATTGGATTTGCCGCAGGGTGACTTTCTTTAGGGGCAGTAGCTGCAGAATCATTGCCTTAAGCGCCACGAGCTTATCCTTTGGCAACCTGGAGGTCTGTGCCACAGTATCTAGCTCAATACCCAAGTACACCATGCTAGTGGCCGGGCCCTCAGTTTTGTCCGCAGCCAGCGGTACCCCCAATTCCCCCGCTAAGTCCGTGAAGGCCTTGAGTAGAGCCGAGCATCGAGGTCTGCTATCAGCGGCCAAGATAAAATCATCGAGGTAATGTGACACGCCCGACGACCCTGTCCTAAGGCGTAGGGCCCAATCCAAAAATGTGCTGAATGATTCGAAGGCTGCGCAAGCGACGGAGCAGCCCATGGGCATCGCCTTGTCAACGAAATAAGCCCCCTCAAATTTGAAGCCTAACCACCGGAAGTCATCTGGGCGTACCGGGAGAAGGCGGAAGGCCGACTCGATGTCGCATTTTGCCAATGATGCCCCTTGCCCAAATCTACGAATCATTTTTACCGCTTGATCAAATGAAGCGTATTTAACTGAGCAAAGCTCCTGGGGAATTGCGTCGTTGACTGAGGCACCCCTAGGATAGGACAGGTTATGAATCATCCGGAATTCCCCAGGAGCCTTCTTTGGTACTATACCCAGAGGAGATAGGTGAAGACCCTCTAAGGGAGGCTCCTCAAAGGGGCCTGCCACTCTCCCCGCCCTGATTTCCTTCTCAATCTTTTTCCTAGCTATATCAGGCCTTTCCCTAACTGATTTTTGATTTTGAGGCTCCCTGGAATTGGGGGGAACTGCTACCGGGATTCGGAAACCTTTGGAGAAGCCTTCCCAAAGATATTGCGCGGCTTTCTGGTCAGGGTATTTCTCTAAGAGGGATTTTAAAGGCTGCAGGCGGATAGGGGAAAAAGCCAAACCGAGGTCAAGATTACTGGGGGTTAACTGACCCGAGATAGGAAAATCCGGGGGCGCCTCTAACGTTACTGTGCCGGTGTTACATGCGGTTACCTGGTCCCTGGTGCGAGGATCCGGGGGCACCCCTGGCATTGCCGTTGAAGTACCCCCTGCCCCCACGAAAGGGCTGCTGCTTACCTTTGAAGCAGGCAGAAGCGGGGTGGTTACCCCAGCAACGCTCACACTCGTGTAGTTACTTACATAAGGGGCGAGAGCAAACGCCCCTGTTAAACTCCCAACACTGGCGCCGGCGTTTCACCTCGGTCTTACCAACTCTGGCCGTATCCAGATTTTTCTTATCAATGTATGGATTTACATCTTCTCCCCAGTAATTTGGATCAGTAAGGTCCCATCGGGTGGTAGGGTGCAGAGACGCATTTCTGCGAAAATTCTCATCATATATCAGTGCAGCATTTTCTCCCGCGAGCGCGCGGGCCCTCCTTACGTGAGCCATGTAGGCCACAAGATCCATGGAGCGTCGGGGATAAGCGGCGCACACGACCCCCATGAAAACCT